GCCTGCTACCATTCATTATAGCTTCCTACATTCTTGACTTTGTCAAGGTTTGAGGAGAGGTCAGGGTCTTTATGAAATCACTTCTGCAGTTCTCTCAGAGAAACAATCTCAAAGGATGTTAGGAATCTGCACCATTTAAACTTGCTTATCGTGCCAAGTACAGGGGGCGTAGCAGATGAACTAAGCAAAGGACAGGACTTCACAACCCTCACAGATGGGCTGAAGAGTAGTGTTTAACGTTACTTCAGCCTGTGAGGTCGTGAACTTGGTGTGTGGAATTGTGAAATATGTGCATGCCTGATGGAAGACAGTATGTAAAGAAGGAGAAGAAATAATGGTGGGAGGTTGTTAAATATATAGGCAAAAAGTTTTATATGGAGATTTTTTTTTTCTATAGGAAATGGTTGCAATGTTTTTTAACTTGTCCATCAAATCACATAGACTTTTTATTCTTAAGTTAAGAAAAATACTTGAAATTAAAAAGGTTTTATAGCAAACTCTCTAGGCTAATGATAAACTGAGATAAGTTGGTTGCAGTGGGAAGGGATCAGTTCTGCAGAAACTGCTTTCAGTTAAGTAAAATCTATTAAAGGAACCTCAGGGCTGGCACCTGCCTCACGAGTGGCTCTGAATGCCTGTGCCCTGCACTTCTTGGTGGCTCTCTGTGTCTTGAAATTACTGTAGTTGAGAACAGCATCCTGGATGCTGGCAGGGAGCTTTTTAGTCATGCTATATACTTAAGTCTTTCAGCTGACTTTTCTGAAATCCCAGCCTCGTTTTGTATTTATGGTTTCTTTGATAAGGCTCTAGTGCAGATATGGTAAAGAAGTTTTAGCTAAAAAATGCTAACCTTAACTTCTCTCAGTAAGGTGCCATAGATTACATTGCTTATGCTTTTTCATTCTGGGAAATGCTGCATAAGTATCAGTTGGCTCTACGTGTATCTGATTTGTTCTTTTCATCTTTTTCATTTGTTCTTTTTCATTCTTTTTCATCTAGAAGAGAAAGCCTTGCACCACAGAAGAGTTCGTAGAAGTCTTAAAATATTTGCAGTGTTAAAGGAGGTGATACTCAATTCATATTTTTCTGAAGAAAGGTTGAGTTGTTCTTTACGTGCCAGGAGTTACTGGAAGCGAAAGTAACTGGTATGGTGCATGCTAAACCTTAGAGTTATTAAATGTACTGATGTTAGGTTTTGTTTTTTCCCTGTGCATTGTAAAAGCAATGCAGAGTATTGTAACACCTCAGTATATTTGGAGGCAAGACACATTATCTTCTGGGAATTATGGTATCATACCTGGCACTGTGCTTTGTTTGAAGGTAAGAACTCTTCAGAGGCACACTGCTCCAAAGCACATTTAAGCCTGAAAGTGTGTTGCCATTTTACTGTGCAACTTCAGGCTGACTCTTGTGCTGAAATTAAAGTAAAACAAAACAAGAAACCCCAAAGCAGATAATTGGCTGGGATGATGATAATGTGAGCTCGTCCCTTGACCTCAGGGAGGGAAGCCTGCTTAGTCATAGAGCTAGCAGCGCTCAGCCAATGAAGCTGCCAAGTGTGAGCTTTCCTGGAGCATAGTCATGCTGCAGCTTGAACATCTATAACTTCAGCTTAAACTATGGACTTTATTATTATGATGACTTTCAAAATATTTTCCAGCTGTTTCCTATATTGAAAGAAATTTTAAAACGTTAATTTTGTGATGTTTTATCAGCTAGCACTAAATGCACTAAATCTTTTTTCTTTTTTCTCTTCCCAAGAAGAGACTTCTCAGTTAGGACTTCTTTGTTTTTGCATGCAACTGGGGGAGCTGGGATTTTCCTTGTGTTTTGTTCAAAGTACCTTAAATCCCTTTCCTCCCCAGTAATGCCATTTTTACTGTCTTGGGTTTTGTGCTGTTGTAACTTCAGTTGGTCAATGACTACAGTCTTCTCAAGTGACAAACAAGGTAACTTCTGTAAGAGGCACACAATATTTTTAGAAGCCTCTTTATGCAACGCGCACATATATATTCCTTTTCCTCTTTTAGGTTATCTCAGAACTTACTTGTTTTTGGTAAACTTTGCCTCATAATACTTTTGTTACATCTCTTTTCTAGACAGGGGTAATTCTAAACCAGCCCAAGATAGACTTTGTAATATCCATGGTTTCTGATCTAGTAGTGGAGGATCCACAAAAGTGAAGGTTTGGAGAGCTGTGTAAATGCAACACTTTGAAAGCTGTGAGAGGTCTTGCTAAAGGTGTTTTGGATACTTTTGAATGTGGTTGCAGACCTCAGTCACCACCTTTTTGTTTGTGTTGGTTGGTTTTTGTTTGTTTGCTTCATTTTTAAGGGTTAAATACAAGGATCATTGAAGTTGTTTGCCAGCTGTGGGGTTCTTCCTTTTGAGTGCTGCCTAAGAGTAGCAAATCTGTTTCAGCAGAGATCTAAAGGTTGTGTTAGAGGTTTAAATTTGTTCTAGTGATAATGTCTTCTGATATACAGAAAACAAATACATTGTTTTATGATAATTAGGGGATTGATCAATACAAAACCACACAAACATCAATGGAAGGAAAGCAGGTATGAGGTTGTCTGATTTGGAGAGAAAAAGATTTTGTGATGATTTCAGAAAGTAAGATAATATCATTAACCATTATTATTAGCATTACTAAGGTATTGTGGTAAAGCTGTTAGCTCTGTGAAATTCCTAGCAGTGCTGCAAAAAGCAAGAGAATAATATTAACATTCTCGAGAGGCATATAGCAACATTGTCACCTCTACGTTTATGCTACCAGGGATCAAGTTTCCTGTTGTGGGATATTTTTTCCTCTCATTGTGACATTTTGACAGAGGATTTCATCAAATAATTTTTTCCTTGTTTTTTTTTTTTTTTGCGTGCACTAGTTGCAATTTAAAGATTTTTATTTTTTTTTTTTCATCTCATGCGTCCACAATTTCTCTTAGGGTTATTTTTGTCTTGTTGAAAGAGGACTGGTAAATGAGCTGAGAAGTTTTGCTTGAAGAAGGAAGGAACGCCCTGGCTCTGTGATACGGGGTGGCAGAGATCCATGGTTTGTAGCCAGGGCGAAGGGGGAGGGAGCGTGGGGGGGAACAGCTATGTAACAGACTGAGGAAGTGAGTCACATCTCTGTGAAACACAGGCCCATGGTTCCACTAGCACTGAAGCCAAGCCTGGCCTCCAATGTGGAAATTGCGTAAGTTAATTTAAACCCTTTGTCTTTTCCTCCTCATCACACTCCCAACTCCACCCCAGCATTAAAATCTGCACCATAGCCATATCCGTTTAGAGGAGACTCAAGTTACAGGACTTTAGTGAGCTGTACACTTTTGTTATTTTTCTTTTTCTATAGAGAGATGAAAGGATTTATTGCAGGCTTCAGTGGCATGTGTATGTGTTAGTCTTCCCTGCTTTGTGTAGACTTGGGAAATTCAAGGGCAGTTTTTTTAATAAGAAATGGCCTTGCTCTTTCTTGAGAATTTTCTGGTATGTCCACAGTACAAATAGAAAACCTCCTGCCTTTTCATATACAGGAAGAAGGGACTTCTGCAGTCAATTCCTATATTGCAGATTTTTCTAAAAACACTTGGTGACTCCGGAATGAAATGTACTATTTTAGTAGTAGGTATTAGTGAATTTACAGACCTGCTTTCATTTTATCAGTCAAGAAAAACGTTCCTCTTTGTTTTAAATTGCTGTTATTCTCTGAGATTTAAGGCCTTTTAGTCCATGCCTACAATTGGTGGGTTTCTCTCACAGTTGTCTGTGTCCAGTTCATCTCAGGTAAGGGAGTCCTTAAACTTTTTCAGGTTTTGCAGAATCCCTGAAGAATCCTTGCTATAGTTGTTGTTCATGCCTGTGCCTCTGAAGCTTGAGAATTATACCTGGTAGTCAAGGGAAACATGATTTTATAGCAAAGCGGATGCAATAAAATTAGATTTTTTTTAATGATCTCTTAAAACCTTTCTGAAGTGTGTGCACAGTGTGACTTGAAGTGGAACATAGTGTGTATTGAAAAAAGTTAGTAATAGAGACCTGCATATTGGTACTTGGGTTTTATTAGTTTAACAATTTCACTAAATTTAAAACTAAATTCCTTAAAAGGCTATAGGTGTCCTAATAGAAACCCTAGTATGTGTATTACATGTATGCATTAGACCTTAATCCTGTAAATTAGGATCTTAAAGCCTGAGTTTGTGGCTAGCTTTTTTCCAGGGAACAAAAGAGTGGAATTGTCTTAGGCTCTTTGTTCTGGAAAAAGTTTCTCCTGTTACGTTTTTAGCTTTACAACAACAGATGTTTGATGATTTTCAGGAGCAGTTGTGATAATCTGCCAGAGCTACTTTGCCATGAGTGTGACCTGAACAGGAGCAGTTGCTTTCAGCTGTTGAAAAAAGCATCTGAGAGGGCAACAGGTTGAGCAGGCCCTGTCTGCAGCAATTGGATGCCTGATGGGCAGTTCTAAATTGGAAAGCAACTGTAATGATTGGGGGCTAGGAAGAAATGATGGCCTGCTGCTGGACTGTTTCCTTCAAAATGCTGAATGTAACATCTTGCTGTGTGTGCTGCCTTGGCGTGTGTGTGTGTTTTTAATGTCTTTGGGAAATGTGGCCTGACACATCATTTTTCTCTTTGCTCAGTCATCAGTTTATTTTAATTTACTTTTTTTCCTGTGTGTTTTTGAGTTCAGATTATCCTGGCTACAGGAAGACATAGAAATAATTGGCCAGAAGAGAGAAATGTTAAGAGAAATGAAGAATAAGCTTGAGGGATGAGTCAGAAGTCTGTGTGCATCATGTAAATATAATATGTCTGTTTTGTAAAACTAAGTTGTCTTACATTTTCTTAGCAGGTAATATCTATTGTTTCTGACATACATTGCACCGATCTTCATTTCCGTCAGAAACGGGACAGACATGTACATCACTGTTTATTGCATGACTGCTTGTATTCCAGTTGTTTGCTGATGATTCATGGCAATTACTTCTCTGTTTCAGGACCTGTAACTAAGTGGACCCTGCTGACCTCTGAACCACAAAGGATAAGAGTGAAAAGAAGTCTGAGAAGCACGCGAAGAAAAAGGAAGTGGCTGTACTTTCATCTGGACTTCTTTCCTGCCCTTTATTATTAAAACTGAATGGAAAAGACAGACTTACGTGCCTTTTCTCCCCCAACCTCAGGGATGGGTGGATTGTAAATACAGTGTGTGCAGCTGGTAGAACAGACTGAATCATGAATCTTCAGACTCAGCAAAAGTCTTCAACCAAAAGGACTGGGAAACGAATTGCTTATTTTAATGAACAGGATATAGCTGTGTCATCAAAAGAACCACAGCAGCAGCTTAAAGAAGGCCAGTACTATGGTCACGGAGGGAATATACCAGTCTCCCAAACCATGGAGATTCCTCACACAGGAGGATTAACAAGTGCCCCTAACAATGTTGCTTTGATGAACTCTGTTTACAATCAAGATAGGGGAGAATCAATGATGATGTCCCAGCCAGTGACAGCTGTCAAATGGCAGAATTCCCTAATGGGAAACCGGTTGCCAGAGAGAGGTGATGCCCACTGGCAGTCTCCACCTGCAATGTGGAACCACGGTATGGTTTTTGGGGGCAACCCTAAAGGACCCCACTCCAATGCTGGTGCTCCAGGGTTCTATGGCCACCCCGAAGCCCTTAAAAGAAATCAAGAGAAAGGAGTGTTTGTGTCACAGCTGGACTTGTATGAAGATGCTGTCCAGCAAATGATGTCCCAGAAGGCTCAGCTGGAACAGCAAGCCCTGGTTAGACAGCAAGCACAAATGAATTCTTTTCATCAGATGCAGAAGCAGCAGCAGCAGAATCAAAGTCTGCCACTGCAGCCTTTCCAACTTGCATTTGGTCACCAAGGCCAGAAGCAAGGTCTTCCTGAATTACTGCATGTCTTTCAAGAAGCACCAGCTTCTTCCAGTCCAGCATTTACTGCTCAGCAAAAACAGCAAGCTCTTCCCCAACTACAGCTGTTTGAAAATTTCTATCCTCAACAGCAGCAGCAACAGGCTGCCACGCAAGCCTTCAGTCTACAGCAAACTGCTTCCATAGCACAGCCTCATGTGGCAGCTGCAGCACCTCAGCATCACATGATGGCACACCAGTTTCAGCAAACGGAGAGGAACCAGGAACTATTCAAGGCTCTAACAGAGCAGAACCAACAGACAGTGCTACCTCAGACCCAGATTCCCTTTCCAAGAAGGTCACGGAGACTCTCCAAAGAAGGTGTCCTGATGACATCTGCAGGAGACGTGTTGGCTTCCAAGCAGGCAGAAGAACAATCTAGCAATTTATTTCTCCATCACTGGCACACACATCAGCAAGAGGTCCCATTGCAGCAGCCGCCTGAATCGCTGGCCCACAACAAAAGTAGCTATTCACACCCCAAGAGAATGGATCTGGGGCAGAAGGACGCCCTGGTCAACAGTGAACTGTGTCAGATGGAAACAGAGAGGCAAGCTGTGGCCCAGAACGGTAGAGATGGGGAGAAACAGACAGCAGCAGCTGAAGAAAATGCTCCGAGAACTAATGACTTTCAGGGTGTTAGAGGAGGTGTAATCCAGAGTACACGAAGGAGACGGCGTGTTTCTCAAGAAGCCAATTTGCTAACTTTGGCCCAAAAAGCTGTGGAGCTGGCTTCTCTTCAGAATGTCAAGGTAAGATACACATCCTAGCCAATATAGTATGAGGACTGGTTTAGGCAATAGGGCCGAAATGCAAAGGAATTAATGTACTTAAGCAGGATAGGATGGGATCTCGATTCAGGAAGTTCTGTAGTGCAGCAAGGGCAGCTCTAGAGTTGTGGGATGTAAGTTCAGCTACTGCAACTCGCAGATGTGGGAGAATAGCTCTCGTGCAGCAAAACCACCTAAGGGCAGTTTTACTTCACTAATACCGAATGTGATTTTAGCCCAGGACTGAGGTCAGAAGTTTTCTGCTTAGTCCTCAAGCTGATCAGGAGTTTAGAGCAGCAAGCATAAGCAGTTCACTTGTTATCTTTTGACCGTTTTAACATTCTCCTCCTTTTATGTTAAGACTGCTGCTTACCTACTAATTTTTCACTTTTAGAGGCTGAAGTGTTTCTAAATTGTGTTAAATCCTGCTACTTGCATGTTCGGTATTTCCCTTGCCATGACAAGATGGCAAGGGTCAAAATGAGCACAGCAGAGGCAAGAGACGGGATTCTGGAGTTGGTTTTTGCTTGTTTACAAGGTGTTTCTTGTGGTTCTCTTTCAGGTGTAGTTTGACTAATCTTTCAGTGAATGCCTCTTATGAGAAGTTAAGATATGCTTTTCTTTGGAAGTTCTGTTGCCAGAGAGTGACGAAATAGGGGTGTTAGTGTGAGCTACTTTTACCTACAGTTTTGCCACTTGAGTTGCTGCCCAGTCAGACAACAAAGGGAAGGGAATTTTTTTCCTCATTATTTTTTTTTCCTCATCTGTCTGTGGCTGTTTTTTCCAGTCTTTTCCTTAGAGGGATGTGGTGATTGAATAAAAGAACTGGGCTGAGAAACACCGAGACAAGTATCCGTAGCCTACTCCACATCTTGCACAGCAACCAGTGGCTGTTGATGCAGTCTTCAGTCCTTGTTGCTCTAAGTCTAGCTGAACAGGCTGTCTACCAGAAGATCTGATATGAAACTTAGAAGTAGTTAGCAGTGTGAACTATTAATTGCTTCTGTTCCAGCCATTGCATGTTTATATTGCAGGAAGGCCTACAATTAGCACTGCAGTCTGATCAACACAGTGGCAAGAGAAAGCTAACAGCATCTAGAAAGGCCTGACAGGTGAAAATTACTCATTTGAAGGCATGGCTGCTTCTAGCTTGATTCATAATGTAAAGACCAAGTCTTGACAGATGCTCATTTGCTCTTTGCAGTTTTCACATGCAGCTTGTTTGCTGCCATGATTGCACTAGCCGAAGAACTTATGTTCAGATTTCTTCAGGCTTTCAGGATGAGGTTTTGAGAGAGGTTAAATTTCTTACCCTGTGTCTGATGAACTCTACATCTCTTAAGGGGGTTGCATATTATGTGAGGGGAAAAGGAAAACTGTTTCAGAAAACTCGTGACCTTCTCTTACCAGTGTCTTTCTGATATGAACAACCTAGAAGCCTTCTTAGTATATGTTATGTGAGGATTATATAAGTAAGCCATAGGATTAAATTATTGATGAAAGAAGATATATTCCTAATTTGAACTAGTTTGAACATTCCAATGTAGGTCTGTGTACCTTCTGCAAGAACGTTATTTTGGACAGCAGTGTCAATACATAGTGCAGTGTTACAAATGACACTTTGCACCAGAGCCCATCTACTGTGGCTGCCTTTTTCAGGCAGTGCAAGGTTATTGCTGCCTACAGACTACAGCAAATTCTCTACCCTAGCTTTACTGTTTCATTTCACATATAACTCTGTTGCATGTGAAAAGGTGGTGTCGTTTGTTTTCTTTAATAACAATGGGGAAAAAAAAATCTCAGATCTGGAATGATCTTCTCAGAGATGTCTGGGTTTAAATATTCTTTTGTGGAAAAGAGAGAGCCGTTGTAGACCCTGCCTCCTTTCCCTTGCATGTGGCTTTAGCATGTGTCCCAATTCTAAAACAGAGGACCGGTTGCCACATGCACAAAACAAAACAGAAAAATAAAATTGCGGAATCTCAGTTCTGAACTCATCTCCTTCATGAGCAAGCTTCGGTTTGACTTCAGAGAGAAGCTGCCTTACTGTTAGCAGGAGTTCTTAAGGCTCGCGTGGTTTTTTTTTTGATTGCTCACAGCAGTGGCCTTGGAACAGTTCTTCCAGCTGTCATGACTGGGTTTTTCCTCTGAAATCTAAATTTTTCAGAGACTACTTGAGGGGTAGAGATGGTCAATAATAAAATGACTGATGGGTTTCTGTGTATCTACTGGAGGGCTCTAGGTCAGTAGTGCGTCCTTCAATATTTATGCTGGAGTCTGATTAGAAGTGCAACAAGTTGTGTGTGCTGGAGTTGTCCAGCAGCCCTCCTGCCAGCAGTTCTGTAACAGAAATGCAGAACTGCCTGAAAACCTCTAGCAGTTCTGCACATGAAGCTCTTGTCCCATGTTTGATTCCTTTCTGCCTACCTCTGACCATGAGTTGAGAAAACTGTTAGGGGTCTGAAACAAATGGCTTGACCCCCAAATCAGTTGTGTCCCCTCTTAGTAAACAGCAGGGATGTGTGTATGTGTGATCTTTCAGTGCTGTGGATCAGAGCACCCTCAAGGCCGTCTCAGCTATTGATATTAATTTCCCAGTAGTGCTTTTTCACTCTCTCTTCTACTGTTCTGGTCTCCTCCTTCCTCTTTTCTCTAAGAGCCGTCGTCTCTCCCATTATCAAGGATGAGAGTTCTTTGCTGGTTACCTCCCAGCCTTGGAAATAAGGGGGGCATAGTTAACCCATCATACTGCCAAAGAAACGTGGCATCTGGTGTGTGACTAGCTGCCATGATTTCCTCCTTGCAGTCAGGAAACTAGTTCATGTTTCTTGACCTACAGAGATCTGTGTAGCACGCAGGAAGTATCTGAGGTCTGTGTTTTGGTCAGAGCTGATGCTCTCTCACATATCCGTATTGCCGCTGCTTGTTTGTGCTGTCATTGTTCTAGTCAGGTAATCTCAGGGGAAAAAGTGCAGGTCCTGGAGTGAAGGGCGGTTCTCAAAGCCTGTGAATTCCTTCTGCGGCACAATCTGGGGCAACTGGTGCCAAATGTGACTTCAGTTCTAGGTTTCATTGTTGTGGAGTGGGGGATGACATTTCCAGTCTGTAAAAGCAGTTAAATTTCCAAACTACAGCACTGCTTATGGGATAGACATTTCTGTGCACACTTAGCCCTATTCTAATAAAAGATCTTGCAAAGGGGGAGTCCTCAATCTTCTTGTTATGACTGATTTTACTTGCTCAATCCTGGCACCTAGCTTTTTTTGAAGGCTTAATGTTTCAGAGTGTACCTGTTTGCTCTGAAAAGCAACAAAAAATACTTGGTCTCTCGGAGAGGCCAGAGCCCCAGCTTCAGGCTCTGGCTGAGGCATCTTGTAACAGTGAAGTTGCACTTCCTTCCATATAAATGTAGTACTGAAGTGAGACTTCAGTTTAGTCCTTTGGCTATCGTTGTTTGTTTGTGTGCCAGCTGGAGCATGTTCTCTTGCTCATCAGTGAAGAAGCTGGCTGACTTGATCTGTAACCACAGTGAGATGACAGGAGAGGTCTGAAACCTTACAACAGAACCTTCTTATGCTATATATTTTTGTCAGGATTAGATATTCTTAGTGGCACACAATAGATTCTTTTTCAAGACTTGAAGTAAATCTGCAAAATTGGTGAAGCTCATGCTGGAGACCTCTCATAGTACCTGAGAGATAACGTTGCTTTAGTTTCCACATCACAGAACTGTTTGTGTAAATTCCTCAGTAGGCTGTCACTCACAGGGTCTGCATACCTAATTGCATCCAAAGGCTTTCCAAAGAGGGCAATAAGTTTGAGAGAAGTTCTGAAACACTGAAAGGAGCATCTACTACAGCTTCTAGATTGCACTTCACTGTAGCTTGAGAAGGCCTTTGCATCCCTGAGGGGGACTGTTTTTGAAAGTTGTCCTTTGACATCCGGCTTCCAAGTGAGCTGGCAACTGCTTTGAAGTTGGTTCAAGAGTGGAATGAACATGCGGATAGTCGTTTGAAGCAGCAGGAATCACTTATCTAGTGATGACTTATCTGAAGTCATTTGGTGTTCCAGTATGCATGTGCTTGTTCAGTAACTCAGCCTCCTGTCCTATGTCCTTGGAGCTGTTTTCTAGGGTTTGTGTGAGTAAAAGCAAAGACATGGACGCTGTAAGAGCAATGTAAACTGAGCTGGCTTGCAGTTATGCCTTGCTGATTCTGCTGAGAAGTTCTTCAGGCTGTTTGGACAGAAAACCTCAAAGGCTCCAGTTATAAAAAGGAAAGCTGTTTCTGTCACGTAAATTGGAAGAAAATTGATAAAAACCTAGCTTTTTTCTTTTTTTTCTTTCTTTTTTCTTTTTTGTATGAGAGATTTAATTAACGTTGCCATTGTTCTGTTCTCTGGAACAGAAGTGTGATATTTGAAATGAATAACCTGCAGCTTACAGTCATTACTAAACCTGGAGAACCTTTGGGGAAGTTAAGCGGCAGGGCACAATTTCATCTGCAAAATAAAATGTCAAACCATAGGTAGTAAAATGATTCTTACGGATGACAAGTCCAAGTTTTCTAGTGGCTGAGATTTTAGGGAACCCTCAACTAATTCTAACAAACTGTGCTAATACTCTTGTCAAATATTCTTTTTCTTCCAATAACATTTTCTAAATCCCTTTCAGCTTGCAAATTGCATAGGGAGAGTTAATATACTGTGTGAGAGATCTGATTTGTTTTGCAAGTGCTACAGAACTTCTAAGGAATCTATCTTTCTTCTCAGGAACTGGATACTTCAGAAGAGAAGAAAAGTGTGCTGATAGCAGCTCCAGGACCTACAGCTGCTAAAAGCGTGGTGGAATTTGCCAGTTCTTCACCAGCTCCTAAAAAAGCCCGGGAGGACAGCAGTCTTGTGCCTCTTATCATTCCTGTATCTGTGCCAGTGAGAAAAATTGACTTGCAGAACCTTGGAAAAGAAAAGTCTGAGGATGGGAAGCTCCAAAGAGGCCAAACAAATGATCGAGGTCCTTGTGAACGCAAGCCTTCTGTGATAGTCACTCGGAGGCGATCTAATCGTAATACTAACATGGAAACCTCAAATCAGGTATGGGCAGGCAAAGAAACCAAAGAGAGCCAAATCTGTTATATATTAATTATTGCCAGCTCAGCATGAGCTGGCAATTTGCACTTAAAGCCCAGAAAGCCAACTGCATCCTGGGCTGCATCAAAAGAAGCGTGAGCAGCAGGGTGAGGAAGGTGATTCTCCCCCTCTGCTCTGCCCTTGTGAGACTCCACCTGGAGCATTGCGTCCAGCTCTGGGGTCCCCAGTGTAAGAAGGACGTGGGCCTGTAGGGCCGTGTCCAGAGAAGGGCCATCAGGATGCTCAGAGGGCTGGAGCACCTGTCCTGTGAAAACAGGCTGAGAAAGCTGTGGTTGTTCAGCCTGGAGAAGAGAAGGCTCTGAGGAGACCTTATAGCAGCCTTCCAGTACTTAAAGAGAGCCTGCAAGAAAGCTGAGGAGGGACTCTTGTCAGGGAGTGTAGTGATAGGACAAGGGATAACGGCTTTGAACAAAAAGAGGGTAGATTAAATTAGATATAAAGAAGAAACTCTTTACTCAGGAAGTGATGAGGCACTGCAAGAGGTTGCCCAGAGAAGTTGTGGATTCCCCATCCATGGAGGTGTTTAAGGGCAGGTTGGATTGGGTTTTGAGAAATGTGGTCTAGTTCTTCTATTAAAGTAGTTGGATCTCAAGGCTTGAACTTGGAATGGATGCACTCTGGGGACCGTGGTTTTTGTTTTTCTTTTTTTCATTTCATAGTATTGCCATATATGTCATATTTCATGGACTGTTACTGCTACTACAAGTACTGACAGGCAATTCCCAACTACTAAACAGTAAAGAAATCCAGACGTACAATAACACTAGAATAAATACTCTGTCTCTCCTTGAGTAAAGAGTGTTTTCTCCATCCAGTACATTGATAACATCAAATTGTGAGTAGTGTATGTATCTCCATGTGAGTGAAATCCAAAGTGGAGATTCATTCACATGGAATTTTAATCTTACTGAGGTTCTGAAGATCGGTATTTGAGTGTTTCCTTTCAAGTTCAGGGTTTGTGTTCTTTAAACTTTTTTGTCTTCTTCTGTTTGTCTGTTGAGAAGTGCAGTGGAACATTCCGATACCATCGGGAAACAGCAGGCATCTAAGGAGGTTTCTGTGCATTTACATGCTTGACCATCTAAGATAATACTGTTATGTTTTTTTCTGTTCACTAATCAGTATCTGGTGTCATCTTGCATCTGTATCAGAGTTCTGCTGAACTTATATGTCCCTTTTCCTAGCTACCATGAGGTCATTATCATCTTTCCAAACAAAGGTTGGACCAGACACGTGATTCCTAAGCACTCAGAAGTAGCATTGCTACCTAATAGTTCTTGTGTGTTCCATTCCCCATCATCTTCCTCCTGCTTTCCCTTTCTGCTTGTTGTTGAGACCTGTCCCCTCCCCAGCTACCCTGTCTAGATTTTGAGCTGCCGTGAAAGAATGTTGTTATCTCACGGAAATTCTTCAACTGACCTGAAGTTTTAAAATGAAATTAAATGTATAACTTTTTTTTCTAATAGCATGAAGATGCTGTCCCAAAGGATGAAGCAGAGGGTTTTGCCCGGAAACCAAAGCAGCGCCCAAGACCTGAGCCACTCTTCATACCACCAAAAGCTGGCACCTTTATTGCACCACCTGTTTATTCTAACATTACTCCATATCAGAGCCACTTACGGTCACCTGTCCGTCTGGCAGATCATCCTTCAGACAGGAACTTCGAGCTACCTCCTTACACTCCTCCACCAATTCTTAGTCCAGTGAGAGAAGGATCTGGGCTATATTTTAATGCTATCCTCTCTTCAAGTGGTCATTCAGTTCCACCTCCAATGACTCCTAAAAGTGCTCACAGAACTCTACTTAGATCAAGTAAGTTCCACTTTTTCCTTTCCTTCTTGGGTAATTTATGATAAGAAACTATGGAGCAATAGGAGGAAAATCATGACTTTTGGAGATGTGGGTATGTGGAACTGGGATTTCTGGCTGGTAAAGTCTGGGCGGCTAGGATGGAGGAATTGCAGTGTTCCTTCCATCTGGCCATGCATGTTACGATGTGTTCAAAAGTAATCTCTGTCACCCCCTACTGACGTTCTCAGGAATGGAAAAGTCAGTTCCTCTTCTGTAATAGACCGTCAGTATCTTGTCCAGATATAGTTATTGCTAAGATGTAGATGTTGACTAGAAGCTGAGTTATTGGACATCTTAAACTCCTTTAGCATATGGGTACCTGTTTTGAGAGGTGGCTACCTCAGATAGATTTACAAGCTTTGTGAAGAATATATCTCAAATGTGAAGATGATCAGTCTGAGCAGTTCTTTCATTGCCTTGCAGATAGTTCAGAAGTTACGCCTCCTGTTCTCACAGTAGTAGGGGAAGCCACACCGGTCAGCATTGAACCGTAAGTACCCAGCAGAGTCTTAGCTTGGTAGTAAACCTACTTCTCTTCATGCTGCTAAACCTTCAAGCTGCTCTCTCTGTACAGTTTAATGTCTCTTAGAAACATTGAAGGTATTCCTATTAATGACTCAAAATATAAATTGTCTTATTTAAAAATGTTTCTGTGCAATAAGTAACATTTGTTTGGGCAAATGCACCTTTTACTTCTGGTGATTTTACCTACTTTCTATTACAACGCATCTGTCTTTGGGCTGAAATAGCATTGATTATCTAAAGGTGAATGTCTTGTGTTGTTGTATATGAGCACTCCTTTGTATGCTATTTCTTTTAGAGTGAGAAAAATAATACTCCTATAGAGGAAGGCCAAAACAGAGTATGGACAAATGTACATGTAGTTAGCTTTCACATGCACTGGTCAGGTTGCAGGTTATCCATGTGGTGTGTTAGCTTCAGCGCAACTGGGAAGGTGGCTTTGCTCCCTTGTGAGCTGGTGCAGACTGAAAGCACTGTAGCCACTTGCATGCAGAGTGTAGTCCTGAACTAATAAGCCTAATTAAACTTTTTAGTTGGTTATGTGCTGGGAAAGCTCAGACATATGAGGACCCAGTGGCACTAGGGAACGCAGTTTGGAGACACTGAAGCTGGAGTTAGGAGCTTAGGTTTGGTGCCAGTCCTGCTAAACCTGTCAGGAAAAGCAATGCAGCAAGCGTCCCTGCACAGCCTTTGTAAACCCTCTGGGAATGTTATCAGCCACACTTAAGGGCTGTACAACTACAGCAAAGTAGTTCCAATCCAGTGTTATGTCTATAAGAATGAATTCTTGCGAAATCTATTCATGGAGACGCATGTCATGACAAACACCCATGTGGCTCTGCATTCCTGACTGCAGCCAGAAAGGAATCTCAGCTCTAACTCTGCAGCACATCCTGTTAACATTTGAAATATTTAATTCACAGTCCCCAAATAAATAACAGGCCTCTTTTACTTTTCTTCCCAAATTGCCCATGTTTAAAGATTAACTGGAGCATTTGCTGTCAATTTATAGGACTTCTCCCCCTTTCCCCATTGTGCCTTGTTTGATGTTGAGGTTTTGTACACTTTTGGCAGCAGACAGCCCTGAGCCAACTGAAAACTATTGCAGTTGTGAATGAACCCAGGTTATTCTTGTCACCTTTGCAGATTCCTTCCAGGACCAGTCTCTGGTTCCATGACAATTCAGATGTAAATAATCACTATTTTTCCTGCTCCTGTATCCTGTATTGCACCAGCACTTGTTCAAGCCCATTCATGGAAATAAAGAAGCACACTTGTTAGTTTTAATCTGTCTTGACAATGGTTTAATTTATTGTTTTGTTGTTCATTCATTTCATGTAGTTCCAGGTGAGCCTCTTCTTGAACAGATTTTTTTCACACCAGGTCTTGATCTTTGAACTCTGCATGGTGCAATTGACTGGTTGTTGTGTCTGGTGGTTTAAATGACTGAAGTCAATGGCATAATGTTAGCTACCGATTCAGTCATGGATGAGAATTTTCAAATATGTCACTAGAAAATTCAAACTATAGTGACTCAGTAATGCAGGTTCATTTTCTTTTGCCAAAAGGGGGTTATGTGCAAAGAGCCATCCATCTTGCTATCATCTTAGGCTCATTGAACAGATGCTTGTGCAGGTTAGTTTACTTTGGATTTTAACCAGGATAAATTAAGACTGTTGTCATTCTGTGTTGTCAAAGTAATTAGTTTGCTGCTTTAATGCTAATTTGTGTGACACTGTTGTGGTCTGTTATGTGGGCATATCTTCTATCAAAGAAAGATGGCAGGAAACACATTTTTGATTTTCTTTTTAAATTTTGATTTTTTTTTTAGAAAATGTTTAATTTGATCCATTAATTTGCGTTCTTGACTTTGTCAGAAGTGGTCTATAAGTTGTGATTGCCATATATTGTATTCTTAATTGCTTGTTCTTTGCCAGACCTTCTGCTAATGCTTCTCAAAAGGTCATTGCATTGCAGAGATTCAGAATAGGAAAAGTGCTAATGAAGCTTAATTGTTCTGTTTGTGAAGTAGCTTAATAGGCAGCTGGTGTCACAGATCTGTGTTCTGCGGGTCTTGAGCTCAGTTGCTTCCAAGCCTCAGTCACTTCTCAGCTAGCCAGCCACAAGTACAGCTGTGGTGCATCGTCTGGGAGTTGCCTTCCCAGTTCATAGCCTCAGTCCTGGATGTTGCCACACTTAACCATACCACAGGGCACCCCAGGAGCACTGTCAGTGCTTACAGGAAAAAGCTTTTGCCATACTGAAATCTAGGCTTCCTTGTTAAAGGAATCCTAGAATAACTTATCTTGAATGGACCTTAGGAGGTCATCTGGTCCAAGTCCTTGCTTGGAGTAGGACAAATTAGATCAAGTTACTTGGTAAGTGATGAGCTCTTGCAATGAAAATCTGTTTTTATATGGACATTGCATGTGCCAGATCTAACTCTTAGGCTCTTCCAGCCTCAGGCTACCATATTGGAAGTTTACTTTGAAAATAAAAGGCAATTTCTGAGGTATCTCTTCAAGCCCACGTTCTTTCTTTCCAATTTGTCCAGATACCTCCCTTCATCTCACAAGTGAGGACAGAGGAGTCTGTCCTGGGACATAAAACCTCCCACGTGTCCCAAACATTAACAACCTTTTTATCTGTTTCCAGTTGACAGCAAAGTGTCAGTTGCTGTCAGTCATGCCTTCTGGGGAGGGGGTCAGTATCTAGAACCCCTTCCACCGCTGTGAAACTGCATGCTGTAACTGTAGGTGAGACTAATTGCAGTGAGCAGCAGACTCCACACTGGTATCATTCTGCAGTCCCTCACGGTGCTGAATCTGTAAGCGTTTTTAGTTTTGCGTTGTATTTTTTTAGCAAGGTCTTTAGCAAGTCTTGCATGAAATCTCTTGCTTTTATTTTGCTGTCGTGCTCTATCTGCCTAACAAGATAGTCAGTCAATATCATGCTATTTCTGTCCAACAAGATAATCAAGAAAGGTGGAACACTATGGAGTGATACAGGTTTAATAGACTTTTGTACCTGTGAAATGCTCACAACAAAACCGAGTTCTTCCTGGGGTTCTTCATTTTCCACGTGACTTCCACTTTTATTATATTTGAAATTGAGTAACTTCTGAGAAGCAGTATCTATTGTGTCAAGTCTGTTTTCTGAGATGTGCTGAAACAGTTAAAACCATTGGCATCAGAGGGAGGACATTTTCAACTGCCTTAGTTCTCCCGAGCCCATACCATGCCACAAGACATATAACGTCCCTATCACTTAAACTTTGATAGAAACTGGAGATGATGTTTTGGGGAAAATGACAGACAGTATGTGGTGGCATGTCTAAAGCTCTCCTGCTACATTTGCCGTATCTGAATGTCATCTCCTCATCTCCTACTGGAAGGAAGTGTTTTAAGCAGTTAACAGATCGGTATTTAAATGCAATTCCAAGCGTTGTTGATCAATAAGACAATGGAAACTGGTAAAGGCCATAAAACCTCTCACCTTTCGAGTCATACTGGTTAATGTAACCAACAACACCTGAAACCTGTTCTTGTTATTATATGCCACAGCCTGCTGCATTTCAGTTTCTTCATAACTGTTGCTTTTAGCAGACATGAAGGATGTCTGGATATTGTAGAGGTTGCCTGACCAGGACTTGTTACTTTTTCTGCAGGCGGATAAACGTAGGAACTCGCTTCCAAGCAGAAATCCCATCACTCCAAGATAGATCTCTGGCAGCAGCTGATGAACATAAAGCAGAGCTGGTGTGGCAGCCATGGGGTGACCTGGAAACCAACAAAGTCACCCAGGAGAATGGTAAGAATGTGGAAGGCTGGTCAGTAGAGCACTGAATGTCACAGCTTTAGTGGAAGTAACCATGCATCTACTGGAGGCATAATTTAAAATGTCTTAAAGCTGCAAGTCACGTGGTATATTTAAATAGTCTTGAATACTCCATATTTAAATGGAGTAAAACTTGGTATGGGGGGTTGTGTGTGGTGGCAGGGAGGTTAATAGGATTTTTTTTAGATAAAAGGGGGCCTGGTCAGGCTAGGAGGGAGCAGCCTTGAGCTCAGCAAGGCTTTCCTTGTCTTTGGTAATGTTTGAATGCCTCATGCAGTCAACTTCTATATTTTCAAGAGATGTTCTAAACATAATAATATTTGGAAAAATCAAGTTGTAGACAGAAGTCAGGATGAGGAAACAGGAGCTGTGGCAGCTAGCAGCAGATTGAGGAGCTGTCTGCTGTTGGTGCACATAGGCTGTGGCATGTACAAATGCTTCTTTCGCTAAAGCAAAGAGGAAGTGGGCAGGCCTGGAAGAAATCGTTCTGAGTAAAGAGAAAAAAGGGTGTTATGAAATGGAAACTTTTTAAAGATCATAAGCTAATAGAGGGGGGATTCAGGAAATCTCTGATGTGAATGGAGATGGGAAGACATTACATGGGGGAAAAGAGGAGGCTAGCAAGAAACACCACATGTAAATAGTGCTGGATGCAGCGCTGTGCTACGTGACCTTGTAGTCTAATAAATTCTAATGTCCAAATTTGACCCAGATACATTTGCAGTGACATTCAGCATGTCAGTTTTAGCTTCTGTTATGTCTAATTCTGCTTCAGAAGGGCTAGTTAATCATGTGAATCATGTCGGAAACTCCATTTTAATATTCTAATCCAAATATGTTTGGTATCTCTGTGGAAATAGTGGAAAACCTGCTAGCTGCTGCCTGTTCAAGCATTTTTCCTGGGGCTGGAACCAACCAGGAGCTGGCGCTGCATTTCTTACATGAAGCAAAGGGAAGCATTCTGGTGAGTGTTCCCAGCTTTTCACCTTGGTTTTAATAAAAGATTTTAATAAAGGCCAGATAACCTGTTATTTAATGAAAGGAAAGCCTTGTGAACTCCTTCCTATGCATCTAGCTCATACTGTTTAGTGTTCTTTGGAGATGTTGCTGTCTGTAACGTGTTCTGCCAGGTGTGTGCAGCCGTGCTCACTCCTTGTGCACATTTCAAACTTTGACATAATTGGCTTTTTAAAAATGAGAGGCTGGGGCTGAAGCTGATACTTAACATGTAGTGTTTTGCTTCTCTTACTTTTGGCAAATCCGTATTAGTTCTCTGTGCATGTCTATAAAGTGGCTGTGCTCACTAACTTTGCACCAGTGTTGTAAGATATGACACACAGTTAATGCCCTTTGACACTCCTGGGAGGTACTATCAAAGAACAGAGCATAGCACTCAGCACAGGATCATCAGCCTTTTTGAGTTCTGTGATTGACTGAACCTGCCGTAAATCAGCCCTGTGGTCAGATGGTGTAGCCCACCCTTTTTCCTGGCTGCTTGTTGGTCATCCCCTCTACTGTGCCAGCACTGGCATTTGTGAGACTCTATATTGACCTGCCCTGGGAAAGAGGAAGAAATTAAAAACGTTTTTTCCTGTGTTAGTTTTCTTCCAGATAGGTTCACAGAACCAGCCCTCCATTGTGAGTGCTGTTGCTGACCTTAGGGAGGAAAGGACTGCCCCTTGCAGCTGGAGCTCATGGCTAAGCAGAAACTGCTTGCGGTGGAACTGTGGCTCCGTTCTTTTCTTCTGCTAGCTTTGGAAGTAGTTGCAGTTTAAATGCAGGGTAAAAAGCACATTGAGAAGATTTTTTTGTGTATGTGTGTAGAATCTTTCAGTCACATGACTGCTGTCTTTTGTTTCTAAATAGTGAGGTAAGATCCTAATGACTTGGATATTTGACAGACATCATTTAGGGCAGGGTTTTTGGATGAAAATATGTAACTTAGGCTTTCAGTAAAGGAGACAAAACTGCTGCATGGTCTCTGTCTATATGGAATTAACTCTCTCTTGTCACCGTGGTGATTGGGTTGGAAAGCATCAATTTGCAGAGTGGTGCTGAGGTACTGAGAGGCTTACCACTTGCCAAAGATAGCCAAAACTTAGTGGACAGTCAAGAATGTGATTTTAAAGTTGTATCCCATTCCACATCCCAAGTGTTAATTGTGCTATGGGAAAGAGCTTCTTTTCAATTAGCGTACTAGAAAGGAGAGGATTAGCAATCACCTGATCTTTGCTTTAAATACCCCAAACATTAATTATTTGTGTTTATTTTAGGGAGCTTTGACCAAGCTGCTATTGAAGAGGCCAGTACGATCACCTACCCATCCTCTGGCAGATTATCACTACACAGGTTTGCAAACTTTATTAACTTTGTGCTGCTTGTCTGACGTACAGGAATTCTTCCATCATCTTCCGTTCTAGGGAACTCTGTAATATTACAGTAAGATTTAAAGGTCACACTTCTGTCTGTTAAATCAGATGATGACTTGCCAGGAATTTTGCCTGTGCAAAACATGACACTTATAACACAATATAAGACACTGCATCTCTCAGAATATGCATGTGTGTATTTGCATATGTGTATTCTGGTTTCCTTTATTAGGATAAAGGAATCTGATCCCTTGTACTAAGCCAGAGAGAATGCAGAAAGACAACCAGGCTGGTAGCCTCAGAACCACAGACTCTCTGCCATGGATTTCTAGGTGGTGGAGTTAAGAGGGGTTCTGTAGGAAGTGTTTTCAAGCTTGCTGAATAACGCTAAGAGATGCAGAGCTTGGCCAACTGTTGATGGTCATTATTTCTGCAAAATGTAAATGCTGTAGACTGCCTTTGTAGTGTTGTTCCTAATTAGGAAATATTAAGCTGTATGGTGCTAGCTAACTTCAATGACCCTAGCCACCCGAGACCTGATGCAAGGTAGTAGAGTGACATCTAATACCAGCTGCCATAAAGCATAGAAATTGTATTTCTTTATTATTACACACTGCTACTATAGTGCTGTTGCTTGGGTAGTATCTATAAGATAAGAGAAGATTCTGGAATGTGTTTATTATTACACACAAGGGCACTAGAATAGTAAGCGTATTCGGGAGGTAATAGATCTTCAGGTACAGTTTGGTGTTACGCCTGATCTAGTATTATTGTGGATTGCTGCTGAAAGAGAAGATTCTGTTCTCCTGCCTTTTATCTTCCCTTTTATCAAATCTGATGACTGGGCCACCCAAAAATGTCTCTTAAGTTTACTGTTTTGTTGGAACACATTTTAGCTCTTCTAACCAGCTGGTTTTAGCAAGCTGAACTGAGCTAACCTGTGATGAGCACTAGTACATCTAACAAAGGAAGGGAGGAGAGCAGGGCCAAAGTGGAGCAGTAGGGAAGAGCAGCTGGCAGCTAAGCAGGATTAGGTATACAGTGAGGCTGTACCCTTGTACGTGTGCGTTGGTTTTATTTAACGGGAACTTGAGGGAAAAGTACATAAAAGAGTTAACATTTGGAATTGCAAGGGCTTCAGTTATAATTTTTTTTTATCTACAGGATCAGACAATTGGAAAGTTGCTGAAAAGAAACTTTTCAACAAAGGCATTGCAATCTACAAGAAAGATTTTTTCTTGGTCCAAAAGCTTGTAAGTTACTTCTTTTAAATGCTTTTTGTTTGTTTGGTTGGTTGGTTTTTATGGCAATATGTTCTTGTGTTCAAACATTTAATACAGGAAGTTCAAACTTGATTTTTCTCAAACATCAGTATTAAGCATTGAGACCTGCACTCAGATTTTAGACAAATTTTATCCAGCAAAGCATAGAATCTCACTAGAGATAGCCAGAACAATAGTATTTGTTTTGCTGTTGTTGTTTACTCAGCCCTTGTACTTAGTGCATTACTTCCATTAGTCCATGCAGCACAGATATCACTTCCACAGAGCATATTTATAGAGTGCTGGTAATGTTCCAGCACAGCTTAAATGGCTTGCTTATAAAACTAAATAGAAACACATCCTTGTTGCTGATGAAAAGAACCAAAGAAGGATATGTGAATGATGCATCCTTTTGTTCCCAGTTTTCTGTGACAATGATAGTAAAAGCAACCACTCCTGTTTATTTTCATGAGGCATGGCACTTCAGTAGGAGGAAAGCACTTGAGGGAGTTAAAGTACACAATTGGGAGTTGCATGTATATTTCCTCTGAATAAGTAACCAAAGTGCATTTAAATTGCAAAAGCACAGAAAGAAAGAATATACTCCCAAACATAAAAAATGAAAGTAAAATCACTGATGGAGAATATGCAGATGGCCATCGGTCTGTCTGTACTGATAGTTTTCTGTCACCATACATGCATGAAATGCATGTGGCCAAAATGGGAAAGTGCTGCAAACCTTCCTTTCCATTTTTGGAACGGTATTCTGCTCTGGTCTTCTCTTAAGTGCAGCTGTAAAATAAAGCTCCCCCATAAAACTGAAAGGCAGCTCTCAAGCCTGACAGCTCAATTGCAATGTTTCAGAGGCTAAAAGGTGCATTAAGCTTACAGAGTGCCGGGTTCTGTCACCTTTACATTGACCAGCTTTTCTTTGGAAATTTGGTCTTGTAGTTATCAAAGTAACAGTGGCAGTAGGGGATGGGCTGTGGGACGGGGCACACGGGAGAAGATGACATGAAAAGAAGGCTTTAACAGCAGTTGTAGTGGAGTAGAAGCTTCTGGGGAAAAAAAATGCAAAGTGTATTTACTGCACCTTTATTATTTATAAACCTTTTTTAAAATCAAGTAATCCATTGGATGTGTTTTTTAAATACCAGATAAAAACCAAGACAGTGGCTCAGTGCGTGGAATTCTACTACACATATAAGAAACAAGTGAAAATTGGTCGGAATGGGACCTTAATCTTTGGGGACATTGATGGTGCTAATGAAAAATCTGTGAGAGATGAAGCTGAAGTTGACATCAAGGTAATTTCCTAAATATGTGTCTTCTCTCTTGAGCTATGGTGCTAAGTCCGATTTTATGTGTTGTCTTGTTTGCTAGTAAAATCAAGAGCAGACACAGTCTGGCCAGTGTGGAGGGGTAAAGACTCATAAACAAGCTTGTCTCCTGTGTCACATAACATTTACTTGCAGACACCAAAATTAACAGTTTCTTTATCTTCTGGTGAAGAGTTCCCATAGGTTTGCACGTGTTCTTCCTCTCAGAAGGGACATTTTCAGTGAAGAACAGGGACACGTGGAAGAGGAAGAAGAGGAGGAAGAGGAGGGAGATGAAGATAACAGAAAGGAAGAGCACACTTCCCCTCAAAGATGCAGAGACACTACAAGCTGGTGTAACAGTAAGTACTGCATTGTGCATATTGTACTTTCTACACCACACTCTCTCTACATGTAGTTTAGAAAATACCAGTTTCAGATGTAAACGTTTCTACCTCTAACTCCTCCCAGAGCAAGGGACTGGGCTGAGGTAGCTTAGAGCGTTACTGGCAATAAGACTGTGCTGTTGTGGAAGAACTGGGATGAGTAAGGCGAGGAAACCCCATACAGTTATTTTGGTTGATGTATGCATAGGACCATGGTAAGAAGTGAATTTAAATTTGTTTGCCTTACCTTTCCCTCTCTCTGAAGGCCAATGATGCCAATATTAGGAGTCAAGAAGCAACTGCCACAGGCAGAATTGGAAGGAAGCCAAGGGAGACAACCATGAAGCCTCGAAAGCCTATTGCTATTCCAGTGCAGAGGAGGCGGCGAAAACAGAAGATAAAATCAGATGCTACCAGTAAAACTCAGAACACAGAAAACACATTTCCATGTAAAAAATGCGGCAGGTAAGAGCAACTTAGTTTCCAGCAATAGTCACCGAATTACAGTAGGGCATTTCCCGTGGAAGCTTGCTTTCTGTCTGTTTAGGCCAGAGACAATGACAGTAATTTTAATGATTTTATTACCCTTATTACCATAACAAATGTCATAGATTAGGGAAGGTTACGTTGGTTTTTTTATAACTTGCAGCTTTGAGATGTCTTTCATGTCAGGGGTATATTGATATTAAGATAGTACTACTTGGATAATTACCTTCTGCTGACTTTCTTTAAAGGAATGAGATGCCACCTGCATTTCAACTGTGTGTGGTATTTGGTGTTAAACTGCACTTTCAAACATCTGCTTTATTGCCCCTCTAACATTTACATTTATGTATTAATTGATTTCTATATATTTACTAGCTCACATACTAAGAAATTTACTCATGAACCGAAATAGAGAAATACGGAACACTACCATTGTTACAGCAGCAGATGTTAGGCTAGTGATTTTACAGTTCATCTGGTTAAACTTTATCCATCTTCTGTGTCCATAAAATGCATTTGTTTTTCCTTACAAGGTTCTAGTAGTTCTTGTAGGCTTGTTGCCAACAGATTCACAAATGCCAAGAAAATTCAGTTCCAAACATAAACTGCTTATTCTTAAAACAATAGTGAGTTTTGTAATGCCAGTGGCTGTGCTTTTATTTAAGAAAGACACAAAGCTAGGGGATGGCAAGAAAACGAGATCTCCATCTAGTTAAATCATCAGAGCTGTTGACAAATTCCTGCTGTGGCTGGTGCTTACTTGGCCCTGCCAAGTTACCCTGTCTCTGTGTCCTCAGGGAGTGTGTGGCACTGGAAAGGGCAGAGCTGTGAGAAGGCAGGCAATCAAAATTTGGTCCTGGTCACTGGCAGATGAGAACCAGGCAAGGAGTCGTAATGGTGTCTAAACTTGTCCTGTAACATTTGGTGCCAAGTCCAAATAGTTAATGGTGAGAGAGAGAGATTGTGGAAGTGCAGAGTTGGGAGATAAGAGCTCACGTGTTTATAGCTGTGTGGACAAGTGTCAGGAGTGGCAATTGGCCTTTGTTCACCTCTTTATTGTATTTTTGCAGCATAGGGGGAACACCTAAAAAGTGGATCCATGTTGTGTTAAGCAGCACATGCATGTTTCAGTACCAGCACTGCCGCCCTGAATTTAGAAAATGTAGGAGCCGCAGGTGTATTAAGGAACAAAGCGAGTGGGTTGAGGGTGCTCAGCACCTCCTGCTAGCACTTCATCCAGTCAGAAGCGGTGTTTGCTGTAAGGCTTTGTTGCAATGCCAGCGTGGGTTCCTGTGCTGAAGCTCGCAAACTTGAGGCTGGAGCTGTAGAAAACTCTTTGGGAGAATTCATGAAAGAAATGAGGCTGTAAGAGACCAGCACTAACATACGTGTTTCCTCAGGGTGTTCTACAAGGTGAAGAGCCGCAGTGCCCACATGAAGAGCCACGCGGAGCAGGAGAAGAAAGCGGCTGCACTGAAGCAGCAAGAGAGAGAGGCAGCAGTGGCAGCAGCAGCGGCAGCAGCAGCCCACAGCGAGGCCCAGCAGGAAGAGAGCAGCGAGACTGGGAGCAACAGCAGTGGAAGTAGCAGCGGGAGCTCAGATGAGGATGGAGAAATATAGCAGCAGGCCCAAAGTGGAGGGAGTAGCAAGGCTGGACCCATCTCCCCCTCAGTGATTTCACTATTTTGCTTGCACTTTTCTTACCTGAACCATCAGTTTCAGTGCTGCAGTTTCCTCATGCCACATGTTCCATTTTGCCTTGCCAGTACTGACCAAGCCAGAATGGTGGACAAAAAGATTTGTTTCAACTTGGATTTTTTTTTTAAACAAGATTTCTATTTATAACCATACCTAAGGTACATAACAGAACAATGTCTCCTGCAGTGGAAGTAAGTTCTCTCTCAGGTCAATCAGACCTTTCTTCTTGTGCTTGTCAGGAATCATGATAATGGGACTCTTGGATATAACGCTTTCCAGACCAGAGCAAGAAAATGATGCTCTGCTCTGAGCTAACTGTATCCACTTACTGTGACACTGGTGATTTCTAGATGTTTTCTTTCTTAGCAAGTTGTTCTTCCTGTTACACTATCCTGCCTTTCTTTCTGAGCATTTATTCAGGTTGCCAACAAGTTTTGTGGAAAGATGGCTTGCACTTTTGGCCTCTGCTTCACAAAAATGAAAAGTGGGGTGAGCAAGACACGCTTCTTCCTTTTGAGAGGAAGATTTACTTTTCAAAGGAACAATGAGGTGCTTTTGTTTTTATGCTGTTACGAATGCAGCAATAGATGTAAGGATATCCTGTGGGATTAGAGTAGCCACAGGCCTTTCGGGTTGTCTCATCATGGAAAATGAAACAGTCAGCCTTTGATTAACTTATTGGAAAATAGTCTGGGCTTCACAAGTGCAATTTGAAATGAAAACTGCTGGTTTTGACATTGGTTGTAGGGAAGCAAGCTTGTTTAGTGAAAATGAACCAGGACCTTGTATGTGTGTCAGACTGTGTGCACCCCAGAGATGGGAGGAATAGACTCTCATCTCTACCCAGCTCCTTAAATCCCTCGGCGAGTGGCTTTTACCTCTCAACACGTCCACTTCTTTCTTGTGGCAGTGCTCATTTATTCCTTGAAATTGCCATCATCGAGAGCTTGTATTAGGCAGAGCCCTAGTTTTGCAGAACTTCCTGTCAGTGTGTGGTTGTGTGTGCAGTGGGAGCTTTCTGCTTATTTCCACACAAGTGGCTGGACAGCTGTCCCTGCTGGGTTGTCCCTCTGACCTCTCAGCTTGCTGACGCAGTGACCTTTCCTTCAGAACTGACCTATGCTAATAGCCAAAAAACATCTAGCCTCCTGGTGAAGGAGAGTTAAGATCGTGCAGAAGTAGTCCAGGTGACACATTAGATCTGCACAGGATTGTTCTGCACATCTTTGTAGCCCACGTTTATCATTATTTCATAATGATGTAAAGAATCAGATCTCTTCTTTGCTCCTTGTGGCCCGTCAGTCCCAGCCCAGTACTGTGGCTGCCCAGCTTGCTCCCTCACACCAACCAGCCCCGATTCCTCCATCCCCGGTGCCAGCAGTGTGCCGTACCACGCATGTGCTGCTCTCGTGGTGCAGTTTCGAAGAAGCTGATCACTCCTGCAGCACCAAGCAGGAATCCTAGGTGGGTTACTGCACATGAACTACAGCTGTTCCCAACTGGCTGATTTCCTTAAAATTTGGCCCTTCAAGCTGCCAAATGAATTCCAGGTAATATATACTTGTCAAGTTATCCATGGAAAATGGATCTGATTCCAGCATGCCACCTTCTTTTCCTGCCCCAGGTAACTTCACGCAACCATGATTACTTCACTGCCCATGTCGGCAAGGCTGTGTATTGCACCACGTTTTCTTTGACACGTATATGCTTTTGCATAGACTTCTTTTTCTTGGTAGAAACAGTTACTACTCTTAAAATGAGTAGCGTTATCATTAAGGACTGCACTTTTTTCGGTGTTGACACTTTTGCCTGCAAGTGTCTGCCAGTGCTGTATTTTTCATTCCTAACACAGTTGGGCATCCCTATTGGCATTTGGATGGCTGTTCCGTGTTCCTGCTCGTATGGGTCTTGTTGACAAGACTGCGGAAGCAGATGGCGTGTCAAACTATTAAAATCCATTCAAAAACTGCAGAGAACTGAAAGCTACATATTTTTAAAGAGAAGTTTAAGCCTATCAGTCTTCCCATTAAGAATCTCAGTGTTGATTATCCTTTTCTTTGTGTAAATTGGAGAAAAGGCTACCATTAAATTATCCTAGGGCCCTTAGAGAGAGCAGAAGCTGTAGCATACTGTGCCAGGACAGACAGTAGGTGAAGCAGCTGGAACTCACAGCTCACTTGTAGTGCTGGGATTAATTCCAGTAAAAAGCAATGTAGCAATTAAAGTCCTGAAGTGTGTCTCTGGGAAGTTGCCAGTGGTTCCCAGATCCTGAGAACTGCAAGGCAGGGCAACCATTCAGCAGGGCTGGTGAGTATAGCTAAAAAGGATTTTAAATAATCTAGATGTTGTTATGCTGTTGTAATGAAAGCATTTCCCTGGGGTACCGGTCTCGGCAGTAGCGTAGCGCACACTTACTTAAGAGACTGAGAAGGCTTAGAGACACAGAACAAAGAAACAGAGATAGAGTGGACCTGGTACAGGGCAAAAATGGAGACTAAAATGAGGCTAATCACACTGTCTTAGCAAAATGCTTTCGCTATCCTTGATAAAACAGTGCAAATCAATTTATATTTAATCCTTTTGGGGGGCGAGGGGGCAAGAGGCTGTTCCTGTAGGGACAAATGTAATGACCAGTTCTGTCTTGTTTCTGACAAGTAGAACAGGAAGATTAGATGCAGAGAGGTTATTACTGGAAGAAAATCAGAAAGGGGCTTTTTCTGAGGATGGCCACTAAAAACTATGGGTTAGCATGGCTGACCAAAATTGCTTAAGTATTCCAAGTGAGTGGTAACAAATGCTTAGTCTGGAAATGTTTTTGAACATGCTTACATATTGCTAGTAGCCACCGAAAGACCTCTTTTCTATCATGATAATAAGGAAAAATGCTCCTTCGAGTGTGTTGTTTAAACAAGCAAAACCAAACCTGCTGTCCACTTGCTTACAGTAGCAGTTTGGAATTGATCATATGTCTGAATTAGATCAAAAGTTGGCAGAGTTGTTTCCAAAAAATAAAAATAAAACAAAAAACAATTCCCCAGTCACTGTAGACAAAGCATTTGAACTGAATTTGTCTGATCAGGGATGAATTCTGGTATTCTTTGTGGGGAAAAATTACTTGAGTGGCTCTTTACTGCAGCACAGTGGTAATTTAAGGCTGTGTTGTTCCAATTACGATTTTTTAAACAAGTTTTATATTCTAATGACTTGTCCATTTTCAAGCTCTGTGTGAATTATTTTCCATTGTTTAAAAGCACTTTGACAGATCTCCATTCTCTCCATTCTTGCCATTAATTTAGAAAAAGGCGCTGTATGCTTCCTTACCAAGCTGAGTGTGAACAAGGAAGGTGTCTCTTTGCATTAGCTGTCTTTTCTATGGGAACAAACAGAAAATGTATAGACTGCAGGTCTGTAAATGTGTGCTGATGTCTTTTGCCTTTTATAGTGCAAGACCAGGCTTCATGTGGTCATATAGCCAGTAGTCAGGTGGTTGCATTTCCAAACAAGTACCTGTTTTGAGTCTTGATGCCAGCTTTGGGTGTTGCAGAGATGCCACGATAGAAGGTTGTACTGTCACATTTTGGCCTGGTCACGTGCTTTTGCCCTTCTGCCTGTGTTGTCTGCCCTTTACAGATAGATTCAGCCTTTCAGGTTTGTGCTCTGCATGGGATAGCATCTCAGTTTTGTAAGACCGTGTGTATATAATTACTAGATACATGCATGCACTTCTGATGCATATCTGATATAGCTACAGGTGTTTTGCAGTCCAGCTGCAAGGAGAACAACTCTACATCTCAATTTATTGGATGTTTTTCCATTTAAAATCATGGGCGGTTTTGCTGACCAGGTAGCGGTGTCGTAGGGAACTCGCCTCTGTGAGCTGCAGGCCCCCAGACCTGCCTCTGCAGGACTTGGTGTGTTGAGAGCTGGGGCCTGGTGGGACTGGGCAAAAAGGACATGCTGAAGCTTAAAGGTAACTCCTCTGTTACTCCCATACTAGTGATGTAACACAAAGTCCAAATCAGCTAACAACACATCTCATTTCTCAAACCTGATACTTAAGGTCATTTCGTGTATTGCAGCAAACTTACCTTAACAGTCAATGTACAAAAAAGTTGTTTGCGAAACCAGAAAGAGTGCCCGTTCTCACTTAGCTATTATGTACCGCTTAACTCTCTTTCGGGCAGCGGACTTGGAAAGTCCTAATATGTTTTCTATTTTAAAAAAACACGAGTGGGGAGGACAACAGCCATAGAAGTCTTGTCTGCTTTCACACAACGGCACTTTTAGTCCAATGATTACCTCTGCCACAAACCACCTTCTCAGCCATGTTTTCCCATGTAATCTTTCTCCCTGTTTTTTCTTCTAATGTATGTCTGCAAGTTTATAAAGCTTTAAAGAGACAAAGAAGTGGTGTCTGCAAACCGTGTTTGATATTCGTGGGGGTGAGTTTCTATGACTTGGGTTCAGCTGCTTTACTTGCGCTCAGTCTCTCCAATGTCAAGTGTTAGGAAGACACAAACTTTGAACCCGCAGCTGTCTAAGGATTTTTTTGTTCAGAGATTAGGGTTCCATTGACAGCTGAGCCTGAAAGATCCTTAACTTCTCAAGATTATAAAACAGCATATATTTTTATAGAAATGTAATTGTATATTTTAAAAAAAATGTTTCTTGCAGCTTCTCCATATGTATTTTTCCCCTCGTAGTTCAGATTTGATACAAACTGTTTTTTTTGTGTTCATTCTTTTTATGTTGTTTTTAAATTTTTAGTCAAAGCTTTCGTGTACTGTACAGGAGCAGTCAGCCTTTGTAATTACTGTATAAATGCTTTATAATAAAGTATATTACTTTTATTTTAACAAGCGAGCAGACACTTCCTTTTGTGTGTTTGCTGCCTAGGGCACCTTCTAAAAGACTGTTACATGTTAAAAATGTACATATATAAATATAGTTACCTGTTGCTGTACAGTTGTGATAGACCGGACTGAATTTATTTTTTGTGTGCTTTTTTTTATAAAATATTAATACACTAAAGGAAATCTTGCTGATGTGATTGTAATGTACTATGTAACTTATTTACTTAATATCCTCTATATATCTAAAAAACCTTTTATTAAATGAGGTTTAAAAAATAGTTTCATAGCCCAGTTTTTTTGTTGATGTGGCTGCGGGGCTCGGGGTGGGTATTGGCAGTGATATGTTTGTGCAAAGGAAGCATTGCAGGTTCTGTTATGAGTTCCTTTTAGCTCTTCTGCTCTCTGATCACGTTTACCTCTGTATTTTCCATAGCAGCCCTCAGGGCTGTTTCTCAATATTTTCCCTGAAGACATCAGAAGCCAGGAAGAGTCTTGAAAGAGTTCTTAGAAATATGCAAGGAACGCTTCCTTGGTCCACCTCTGTGCTGCAAATGAGGACAGCTGAATTCTGCTTCTGAAACAACCTCAAGGCAGCATGAAGTCAGTCAGCACTTGAGGCCTGTATCAAATCTGAATTCCTGAATGGCTGTTGGGTGGGATAGAAAATAGGGACTGAAGTAAATCTAGAGCCGCTGGAAAAGGAGGTAACACTTTCCTGCTGCTTAGTAGTTGAACCTGCTGGTTGTAGAAACAACGGCAACTCATATTTTCCAATGGTGGATTTAGTATGTATATCTACATACATTATTGAACACTGTCTTAAAGGCACTTGTCTGTTACCCTGGATCTTTTTTCTTTTTGAATTTTGTAATACAGCACTAATCCAATTTCTTCTGGCAGCTGGATGTCTTGCTGTGGGTATTAAATATTAATATACTTCCTTCCATCTTCAAAGCAAAGGTTTCTTCTCTTCTGGTAGTTGGCTGTTCATACATAACTAGCCGACTGTATCTGGCACCTGCGGGCATGAAGTCTTTAAAAGCTGCAAATGTTTTGCTACGTTAAGCATACTGCAGAAATGTGTATCGATGTCTGACTGGTTTCCTACAAGCTTTCAGGTAGGACCAAAGGTGGCTCACCTGAAAATAGTTCCTTTTGTTTCAGTTGCTCATTTATGCTGACAAATTTAGGTTCCAAGACTGACAAAGCTGAAAGAAGAAAGATTTAGCTGAAGATATTTTTATTTTTTTCAGCTCAGTGTAAGAGCCCTTGCTTTAATTTACTCCTGCAGATGTGGATGTTAATCATCAACAGCAGTTGGGGCAGTAAGTAAGTAGCACGTTGCATAGTTGGCACAGACAATGTGTTGGCCTCACCAGCAAAGCCAACTGGCAGAAGTGTTTCAGGCTGACTACTTAGTACTAGAACTGTGAAGCCATGTAAACTAAGTCTGGATAATGCAAAAAGCCACACGTCTTGGGTGGTTTGTTTTTCTTTTCTTTTTTTAACTGGTGGATCCAAGTGCAAGCTTACAGAAGTCACTTCAACTGCATAGAAATACCTTACGAAGTGCTTCACAGATTAGCAAGTTTAAATGCATTTTGAGATAGTGGCATTGTGATGAATTTTGCCGTAATTCCATATAGGTGGTATTGTTTGTTTATTTTTTTAATAGAATTACAGCTGTTGTTGCAGGATGATATTCTTGTAATTGAGACTGCTGTGGACTGCGGGGTAGAAAGCTTTTTCTTTTATAGCTGAGTTTTGACAATGTATTTCAGTGATGCTGCTTACTGAAAGCTAGTTTTTGTTACAGAAGTTTAGTACAGAGCAGTTGTCCTGGCTGAATGCAGTTGACTGTATAATACTTACTATTCACAGCTTAAATTCAAAGCAAATTAACAATTTTGTGTTGAAGTAAGACTTACCCTTTATTTAACATAACATGGCCTTTTTTCCCTATAGAAAAGTAAACATTTTTTCTTAGGACCTAAGAACAAATCTGACAACCAATATCTTTCTTAAAAGATCGAAAAATATTCATGTATCAGATGACAACAATCACAATATATCAATGCTTTTGAAGTCTAAGTTATTTTCTATTCTAAAATATAGAGGCAATAAGGGACAGCACTTACAAACTAAATTGCTCCCTGAGCAGCTAGGAAAGTTTTTAATGAGAACAACATTTAATTTCTGAAAGCTCTTCAGAAGTTGAACTATTCCATTACACAACAGCCAAAGTTTTTTGTATAAAATAACATTCTATTATTTTTATACAAGTTTCACAGAAGATCATTTATAAACATAGGCCTAAATAATTTAAACACGGCAATTTTAACAGTTTGGTCATGCTACAAAATTACTGTATACAAAAGGTAATCAAAAGTAGATGTTAAAAGTGCTCTCTTGCTTGAAGATTTTTCCAAATGAGTCTACTTTCTAGTGTAACCTGAGTCATTTGCTGGTTCTCAGGTCTCTTTCCAGCCATTCGCAACATAATCACCGCATACATCGGCTCTTTGAAGAGAGATCAGTGTGCTAACAAGTAGGTAAAATACTTATTTCCTATCTCTAATTTAATTTTAGATATTTTTCTAAGGAATAAAGTGGATGCTAATCCTCCATAATTTCAGTGGGAAAAGCAGAATTCCACATGGCTTGCAAGTTTTACATGGGTGCTCTTTTCATCCATGACTAATAATGTGCTTAGGACTTTAATGGATGTGGTGAGATATGGAAGCGCAAAGAATAATACAGAAAGACAAGTCCTTCAACATCCTACTCAGCCACGCCTCAGGGGCATGCAGTCTGATCATGTTAGCTTATAAATGACACGGTGCATCAGCACCATTAGTATGCAGATCTGCTGCTTTAATTCTGTCGTCTGCATACATCTTCCACCACATCCAGTGCATAATTTTAAAGTGCAAATTTTAAAAACTTATGAAAACTTTTTCTTTCTTATTTTGGAGGAGAAAAAGTTAATGGGGTTTAGCTTTGTTCTTGACAGTAACCACAATTCATCAGATAAAGCAGCATTAAGCTGAAACTTCAAAAGGGCTTTAATTTCTACACTAAGATACTGCAGCATGAAGGGTGAATGGTATAGGAAAGTTTGTAAACGTACCTTACTGCTGTTACAATGGTGCTGATTCTGGATGCCTTGTTCCTTCAATAATGATTTGTGTATGTGTGTGTAGTATTTATAATGTAGCCCAAAATAAGAGCTAGAGCATTTGTGCTGTTAATCCATTAAAAGAGCTGATGACAGTGGGCTACATGATACCCACAGCTCCACCACCTAACAACTGCACCAGTTACTGTTGGACTGATCACCATACGCATAGCCTCTGTTTGTCACTTACGGGAGCCAGCCTGATTACCTCCAGCCCTTCCTTGTCACCTACAAGAGCCAGGAATCATTCTTTCACCCCTCAAGTCTTGACAATGGAGCTGTGTTTTGTTCCAGTTGTCACCACACAGGACACTTACCTTTCTCTTCTGTTCTCAGACTGTCCCAAAATAGCCTGAGTCTTTGCTCTATCTAATACTGCCTTCATGAACGTACGCACTTAGACCACATTTAGGTACTAAAAAAATCAACCACTAGGATTACATGGCATTGGAGCACATTCTCTCTATCTCCCTACTCTCTCATTTCATTTCAGTAGCTAATTAAGCCATACATACCATAATTAGAAACTGTACTAGGAGAACACAGTTACAGAGGTTTGAATGCATTGCTTCTCAGCCAAGCTCTGTGATTCTATCCTAGAACTATCTCCACACACATATATGAATTTGACTTCTCCTTTTGTTAGTATTAGCCAGAAGTCAGGTTTTATTCCATTCCAGCTCTGACTCAAGGTAAACACATTTTAATTGCAGTAGTCAGGAGCACGTGCCAATCCCCTATCACCCTAACACAAAAGTTGCGGTCAGCAGAGACTGCGTGTGCTATAACATAGGTGTTTTCAGAGCACGTCCACTTTTCCAAAAGTGGCTGCTAGTGAACTTCATGGATTAGTTCTAAAAGAGGACAATGTGAAATGGTTGTTGACTCCGTATCATTACATGTGGGTACAAAACCTGTAAAATAAATCCAGTGATCAAGTTAACTAAGAACCAGCTTCTGCTTGCCAGAGCTGCTGTCTGGAAATGGTTTATGCTGGGTGAGGAATGCCAACAGCATTCACCATTGCTCTTCTGGCCTTTTATTAAGAAAGGGCTCTAAATCACACTCAAATTTTATCTGCAATTGCCAACTTAACTTGGAATGCTTACAAATTTTTCTAACACTCAAAGACCAATGAGAGAGAATATATTGAAACTAAATGATGATTTCCTTGTTATCTTCTATTTCACATTTTTTACTTAATTCTACTGCTAATCAATTTCTATCTTCTACTAAAATTATACCTGGAGCTTGAGTTCAGTATCACTGTCACCTAGGCCTATTCCACCATTTTCTCTCTGACCATGACTTCCAGGATATCAACCCCTGCCATACCTTCACAAACAAAATAATAAAAGTGGCATTCTGCCTCCTTCCCTTATATACCTGTTCTAAAACTGGGACGCATGCTTCTTGCCATTCTAATTTAAACAAAGATGATGCCAAGAATTAGAAGAAAACCTTAAAAAATATAAATAAATAATAAAATAAAATGAAATAAAATAAAAGTTGCCAAAATATCTATTTAGATCACTTGATCTAGTCTCTAAAGAAAACAGAGGAAAAAAGGGAGAAAAAAACAGGGAGAAAAAACATTTGGCATCCAGTAGTGCAATCAGGAATGTCTTCATTGTTTTAACACTTTTCACTAAAAAATAGTTACCTGTCATATAAGGGGGCTTTATAAAAACTGGTTAACCTGCAATACAGCACATTTAGTATGTCTTCAAAACTTATTTTCCAGTGCCCGCTTCCCATCTCATCTCACCTCATCTCCACTCACCTTCTTCAGTAACTACATACACAATCCACTCACTGCATACATCTGTGCTTTAAAAAAAACCTAATGAGTATCTCAAAATCAGAATTTTAAATCCCAAGCCCAGGTCTTTGTTCACTGCTTGAGTTAGTACTAGCCTACGAAATTACAGGAAAATTCCAGAGCTGAGAAGGATTATGTCCATCAGCGTGCCAAAACAAAACTAACTAGGAACCAGCTGTAGACTAATAACTACATTTTTCCAATCACAATAATTTCTTAATGAGAAATGAAAAGCTAGCATTTTAGTCTCACTGCAACCATGCAAAGAATTCCCATTGCCTCTTTAAAATAAATAAACATACACATTGTACATGGCCTTCTAAGCTACGAAGCTCAGAGTTCCCAAGAAGCCCAGTTCAAAACTTAAGGCCAGTAACAAGAGATCATGAGCCCAATACCTTTTTTGTGCGTACAGTCCACAACTACTGGGCCTATTTGGCATAATAGTTAAGGGGATGAAAAGGCAAATTCACATACTTAAAATATTAAGGGATTCCCATGAGAAAATTAAACCTAACAAAGTCTGTAATGTATCTATAAAACACAACATTGTTTAGCCTCAGTGTTTCAAACGAACATTGGCCAGCTGCACCTAACAAGCTAAAATTGTTGTATTACAACCCGAGAGTGGACAACAAGCACCACTAACCAGGGATTAGGAATAGCTAGGTATTATTTTAGGTAAAGATTACTTACTAACCAAACAGCAGATAAACTCAGCTCCACTGGTCTCTGCAGAAGATGTCATAAGCTTGACAAAATTGGTGTGCCTGTATTTTGGTAAATAATTCTTTGGGTGAGAGACGGTGGAGACAAGCTGGTCTTCTAAAAATTGCCCAAAGATCTTCTTCAAAACAAATGTTTCTATCAAAGTTCTATGTGCTGAGCAATCTGGAGATACTTAAATAATTAAATACCCAGAATGAAAGTCTCATCAGTTTCCTCCTCCTTCTTCATCTTCTTCTTGTTTAATAACTAGGATACCTAAGAGGAAAAAAAAAAAGAAAAAAAAAAGAGAGAGAAAAAAAATCTGCAAAGATTTATGACTAGATTATGCAGGGAAAGGTACAGTTTATGCCCTGGAAAATACCTTCAGTACTTATTTTTGTCCAGAAGATACTCAACCATTTCACCAATTCTGAGGTGCCTCACATAAAGTGTATAAAAATAGCAGGATCTTGGGACAGTGTAACAGCAAGAAACTTACATCCAGTTCTAGCATTTCTGACCTTTCTTTTACTCAACATCTTTGTTTTCTGTGGCTTCCATTCTTAAGTATCTTTCTCTCTTTCTAAACTGCATAGGAAAAGCACCTGCCTAATTCAGAGCTGTCCATTGCTCCAGGATGCAGGGATGCTTAAGAAATGAACGGCGTAGCCTCATGTGAACAAGGTTACCCTTTGCCTTTATAGATACTTGCCCTATTATGTTTTTTTCTACTCTCAAAGCGTTTGTACTACAGTAGTAAATGGACTATTGCAGGCCATCCTCCACAGCAGTATATTTCTCTCAGCAGGCTTCCACTTCCTAAAAAAATTCATGGCCCATCTGCTGCTCCCTACACTGATGCTGTCCTCTTTTACCTTTTCTGCTGCTACTCTGTTATTAGCGTTACCAGTCCCTGCTCTCCTCTTCACTGCTTTAGCAAACAGGGGTTAACAGAGAACAGTTAACAACTCCGTTAGCAGAAAATAGGATATGTAAAATAGATTTTAAAACTATCTCACTTCCACTCACGATTCAGGACGTTCTTTAATGTATTTTCATGTCAGTGACTTAAAAAGGAGAGCAGCAGAGGAGAGGCCATAAATTCAGGCTTACCAAAACAAAGAGAGGGAAATACTCCAGCATTTGGGAAACTTGCATGAAGCTTTGAAAAGCTGCCTTTGTACAAGAAATTAAAAATATATATATATATCCCTGTCCACCCTCATTCTCCCAAATCACCATCTTTTGTTGGAAAAAAAAAAAAAAAAAGAAAAAAAAAAGAAATTTGCTGGGAAAACTGTAATTCATCCTGCCTGACCAAAAGCTTTGTTAACTTACTTAATGACAAATACTTAAGTATATAATTTCACAAATCAATATGTGAACTCCACAAGAGAACTTCAAACCACTATTAAGTGTGTATAAATATGTCAGTTACCTACTAGTTATGTGCTAAAACTATTTCACTGGATAGCTTTAAGAGTAAAGCCCAACTGCGGGCTGACTGCAAGACTTCTTGGATTTAACTGTCCAAAAACACATCAGACATTTTCAGAAGATCCTGCAGCTAGTGCTGCAAAACTCAGCTGCCACAGGTTAGCCTACTTCTGAATAACCCCACAGAGAGGAGGGAGAAACATTACATGGTCACACAGATGAGTTTCTGAGGTTGTGATTCATTTCCTCGTGGACTTCTTTGTATTAATCTCTTCACTTAGATCAGTTGCCTCACACCCCAAACTCACCATCCAGCTTTTTCAGCTTGGGCACCCGTTTGGTTGCTTCTTCAATCCAATTGTTCTTCTGGTCAGAGGCGTATTTCTCTTGTAGTGGATTGCCTACAAACACCAGATCCTCTAGTAATGGCAGCTCTGCCAGTCTCGCAAACTCTGCTGCAACCACAAATGTGAAAACACCAACCAGATTGTGGAACATGGAAAGTACAACTTCACCAAACCTTCTTTTCAAACTCCATGCAAACATAAATAGCATGAGATACAAGAGGACAGGGATTGTTGGGGCTTGAACTGGTAACAGGTTAAAGAATGGGTACACGTTTCAAATAAGTCCAAGCAAAATGATTCAAAGAACAAACTCCATCAGGCTTAGAAGTTAAATTCAGCTTTCTAACTACTTTTAATCTCTTGAATGAGTGACTGTTTAGGGATTCAGTGCAGCTCTGCAAGCTTATCAGTAAATTTAAGCCCCAGAACACACAGAACTATTTTTCACTTGCTCATGCATTCACTATACTACATAGGAAGCTAAATAGACAGGAATGGCTTACCCCAGTCTTTCACCAAATTATTTGACATATAAAGAACCTTCAGCTTCTTCATTACACGGATACCCCGCAGTTTCTCAATGAAGTTATACGAAATCCACAACTCCTCTAACGTGTCTCCAACTGCCTCCTGGAAAATGACAGGACGACTCAGGTAACTGGAAGTAAGTCTTGCTTATTCTTCAGATTTACTCTTCTTCACCCCTACAGGCCACCTCACGTACAAAACTACTAAAGTATAGTGGTCCTTATTTCCTTTTAAGCAGGTCCCTAATTAAGCATTACAAATATCAGTGGGAATTAAGAGCAAAGGATATGAAGTATATTTTGGAGGACTGAAATCACAATATTAAAACAAGACAAGGAATAGTTGGCAGAAGCAGCTGTTCTTAAGGCATAGGGACAGAGGAGACAAATTTGGCTGTTTGTGCACTGCAAATATACATAAAGTAACTACAATTCAACAACTCAGGGGGTTTTATGCAGTATGAGAGAATGATTCATTTCAAGCGCATGTACATTTGTACCTGAAGAACAGAAGTTGCTCATAACCCTCAAAAAAGAGTTTTTGTAAACCAACCACTATACATTTTACATCTGCATTTTACAATTAAGAGATAAGGTATCTCAGAGGGCAGCAATAGCTTTGAAGAGGAATATTCTGTAGGAGGAATATTCTGTGGGGGCAACATACAATATCTCTCAAGGAAGAAAAGAACTTCTACATTCATTTAAAAAAAAAAAAAAAAAGTTGATTGAACAGAAGCTCTGCCTTCATACAAATGTAACAAAACTGATCCCATTTTTTTTCCCCAACAAGTTCTTCCTCTGCCTGGTAAACTTAGTTCTTCCACCACCTTCTCTCCCAAAGCCCTATTGCTCAGTGTGCCAGGTAACATAAATGGGACAGACTCTCATGAAGTGTGTGTTCACAGGACTGCCAATATTTTTAGTAAAGAACCATAGCCTAAGTATGGATTTTCTGGACGAAAAACCCTTACAGAAGCCTCTAGGAATTACTTCAAAATAAAGCCAGACTTTTATGAACATAGGGAAATTAATCCACATCCTAGACAGCATTCTGTTTTGTTAGTAAAGACTTAATATTAAGAAGCACGTACCAATCCATTCAAGTTCTTTATGTTATTTCTTCCCAAAGACAGAATTCTCAAATTTTCTGAAATAGATAAAAGAATATTTCTTGTTAGTAAATGACTTTTTATAAAGTGTAAGAAGGTGCTGTAAGTTAGGTAAAACTCCATATTCTACTTCTAAAAACTAACCAAACAAACAAACAAAAAAAAAAAAAAAAAACAAAAAAACTCCACATTCTGAATAGGCTGTCCTAAGAAAGAATGACATACGAGAAACAAAACCCCCTGACAATGAACAGGAATTGACGCAGTGGACAGCTCAGAAACATGCTCATGAATACAAAGCTGGTTATTTAGTTGAATTTCAGTCCAGATAAATACTAGGGGGAAAAAAAAAATCATCTTGCATCTGAACTCTTAACTGCTAGCTTGCTAGGTTTGATTTCACATAGTGAAAATCTCTTCTTCTCCAAGTAAAAATTTGTTCCAATTTCATTTTAAGGCAGCAGATTTGATTTTTAAAATAGAGACAGAATATAAAGCTTCCTTACAGAAGTCTGGTGAGAAACACCTCAACTTAGTCTAGCACCCAGACAAAGCAGCTTTTTAAGTGAGCTGTTCTTGCTGGATTTTTAAACTCAAACCATGACAAAATAGCAGTCCTTCTGTAAAACTCATTTTCAGTTTTAACACAAGCTTTCTTGATGGTATAAATAAGCAAACTGAGTTGCAGGATATAGCTGGGTTAAGTGTGGATCAATACTTCTCACTAATATGTCAAGACTTCTCAGTAGCTGAAGGATGAAATACTTAATGATCTTGTTTTCTTCTTGTATGTATAATGATTGAAAATACACTGTGCAATAATTAATGGCAAGAACAATGAATGTTCCAGTCAAGTAGCAACAGGCTGCACTCATAGCACATGCAGTGGCTGGGGACTGCTATGCATGAAGACTCAAGGCTGATCTAGAAGAGATAATTATATGTTCTATCTCAAAGAATGTAGGGATGAAACCACACCTGGTAAAAGCACACCTGGCAAATATTCTAAAACAGGAAGACTAGTTATCATTAAAAATTTGAGGTACTAATCAGAATTCTTAAAAAGTTTATAACACAACCAGGCTCAAAATATGGAAACTCATAATCTTTAAGTCTAAAGTCAACCACAGCTGATATTCTCCAGAATATCCCTAAGGATCCCCATCCACATGGGACAGCCTTTGGGTCTAGCCAGCTATCCTCACTCCCTTTGTAACTCACATTTAGAAATCACAAGTTTGCACTAGCTCTGGAAATTTCTAAGAGATGAGAGGATACTTACAAATACAAAAATGACAGATTACTTGAAAACCTACGCTTTAAAACTGTTTCTAACTGCTGTTACTGCTCTTTATTAAACTTGTTCTGAGATATTATATATTTTAGAAGAAGTAAGATCTCCCTCATGGAATATTTACACACACTAAAACACATAACCAGCACTTGTTGCTATCTAAAACATCTTCCTCACATGTATGGACACAGGGCTGTCATCCTTCACACAGAATAATCTACTCAGCATAATCACTGTATCAGGTATATACACTAATATTCATCTTTTCTGTTTGAAAAGAGTGATCAGAACTTGAACAGATTTCTCAGCTTCCCCTCTGCAATGAATAAAAGCAAATTTGTAGTAATTACTTGTTTGCTGATTTCTCTCTCTTTCACAGAAGCCAACAGAAATTGTGAGGTCCTCACATACCTTTAAGAGACAGACCACATAGTTCTATTTTGTCTGGCCTCCAGATCAAATATTTGGCACAGAACGTTTGTTTTGATTCTATATTTTATTAATATAAATGTTTAAGATGCTTTGAAAGACTTGTTATGTTTTAAACCACTTAAGACTTGATTGGATTCACCTTTATTATATAACTGCCTATTTATTTTTTGCTTGTGACAGAGTTATCCACATTGAAATATTACAGTATAGTTATTTGGGAAGTCTCTACTGAAATATTTTTTCCCTGACTGGGAAGGTCTGAGAAATTTATGAAGACAGTTAAGGTCCTCAGGCTCCTTGACATCCCTGTCAGTGTGTAGTTGTGGAGGACAGTATTCTGGATTCCTTATCAGGTATGCCTGGCAGTTTGATAGTGCCAAAAAAGCCTGGAATCTCTAGCTCAAAACCTTCAGCTCTTTGCCATTCATGCCACCGAGTCAGAGTCTCCAGGACAGACCTTTCAGATTTCTGTCCAAAAGTAGAATAGAAACCCAGTGAGCTTCAGGGTTTCATAGCCAGCTACCCAGAGGTGTTCAGTTCCACCTTCTAGTCAGTTGGCACACACCTTTCAAGCAAGAACAAAGCCAAAATAAGTACATCCAAACCCTCTGCAAAATGGAATGACATTTGTGCATCCAGCTCTGCAACACTCCAGCCTCAGCAGCAGACAATACCACAATTACAAAGCTGTTGAACTGCAGACTCTCTCCCTCATGAGTGTGGAAATTGGCTGTTAAATCATTCTAGAATCAATTAGGTGTTGAATATCATAACTCAGGGCACTGGAGGTTACAAAGGTGTTTCTGAATGGATTTGTTTTGTTAAGCTTGCACAGCAAGACAACTGGCAAGACTGCATAGAGGTACATGTTTGAATACAGCAGTACTACTAAACATGCATTCTCCAGGAAGACTGGTAATTTTAAAGTCAGTTGTAATTTTCTAAGAGGAAGGAGTTAAAAAGAATAAAATAGGTATAAAGCTGGACACATATGACAAATCGTGGTAGATGTCCTATCCAAGCCATAGAAAACAAATACAACCAGTCACTGGTATGTCACTTACTTAGGCTGTTCAGGTTGGCGATTCTTTCAATGCAGTTTGTAGACAACGACAATTTCCTTTAAAAGAAAAAACAATCAACTCACAGTATAAAGGGAATCACTGTATCAGGAGAGTTCCACATCCAAACACCATTGCATTAGAAATAACTGTCTATTCTTCTCTCATTAGATAGTGAACAAACTGTATGTGTGAAGAGACTCAAAATATCCACAAACCCTCATGATTTCTGTAAATTTATTCAGCTTCTAGGATAGTACTATGTGCTACTAACATCACATAGGGGGTTATCTTTTTATGCCTAGCCTTAACAAACACATGGACATCCATTTCTGAAATGGCTCGAAATCCCTTCCAGAAGTCCCCTTTTTTCTCTCTCTCCCATCTCCTACATAGGCAGTACTACATTTTCCTCAGTTACACAATGGCCTTACTGATTTGGTACCCAGAGCTACTTAGATAACTCTGCGTGCCGCTATACTGTGACACGTGGGCACATTAACCAAGGCAACGCGTTGTACAGTTATGAGATTAGTGCTGTAGGACTTGATACGAACAGAATTTTAGGAAGAAACTCTAATTTGTTGCCAATCAACACAGAAAAAGCCTGAGCAAGTGGATATTACAGACTTTGGCTTATAACACCAAAGAAATAATAATAATATATATATATATATATATGTATATATATACATATATTACATATATATATATATATTTTTTTTTTTTTTGATGTTAAACTGCAACAGGCATGCATAAATTTTGGAATGCATCATAAATGTGTCAGTTAGCTGACAGATTCCAAGCATAGACCTGTAATTATATACTGATAAATAATACAGCAATTTTCTAGGGACAAATATTAGTACAGAATCTATCATAACATCTTCCTGATTAAGTGACAGAGATCTTGGAGTCAAAAACAGGGACTGTTGGTAGAAAGAGAAGCTTATTTGAGGAAAAAAAAAAAAAAGAAAGGAAGAAAGAAAAGAAAAAAGAAAAGAAACGTATTGCATAGAAGGCCACACTTAAACATAGCAAACGTATTTACATAGTGGACAGCAGAAAAAATAACAAGTAATACAAATAGAAGACAATGGTTAGTTTCCAATTGTTTTTAGCTGAGCTTACTCGCAGTTAACAAGGGTGGAGAGAGATTCATCCATCCTCTCTACAGGAGGAATCTGGCCATACAGTTTCACCTCTTTTGCCTCTGAAGCCTTCTGGCCATTTTTTTCTTCCTAAAGACAAGAGAAGGTGAAGAATGTGCACACTGTTACATGCAGTTACTAAGAATTGCTATACTATAATATTCCTATAAAAGTAATTACTATAGAGGTAATTCCAATATATTACTAAAAGAAATTACTGGAAAGAGGGAGCATTCTGAATACTCTTTTGATATAGAGTCCAGCTGGCGCAGCATGAAGAGGGGAAGGGTAGCTTCATTCTAAGGTACTAAAAGCATGTATACATTACATAAGCTTTTTTCTTTAAAGATGTGTTACACTTGAGCAATTTCATTCAGGCATCCTCTCCTGAAAAGAAATGGAGAATAACTGGAGGTCTGAAAGTCTGCATCAAGGCACTGTCACAGAGACTGACATGTAGGAGCCTCAACTAGAGCCAATCTGAAACAGAAGCACATTCTTAAAATCTCTCACAAAAATCTCCTTCCTACTTCAACCAGAAAGCTCAGAACTCACGCCTAGCTCACAGCACAAACTCAGAATGCAGGGGAGTGCACTTTGGGGGAAGAGTCTCAACAGCATTTTTCTCAAATCTTTCCATGTTTTTAACCATTTTGAATAGCCCCTAGATATTCCTCCTTGTTAAGTCAGAGCTGTGACTCCTGCTCCTCTGTCTGAGGTGATAGCTTGCACCCAGCCGCAAACTGGTAACTCCGTCATGGCAGCTCTACCTCCTAACAAACATGTACATGAAAAGAGAGACATCTTACACTCTTCAGAAAAATGGAAAAAAAATAAAATAAAAAAACAGAACACACCATAGGACAAAGAGGGAGTTCCAAGTCTAGACTGGCTGTATTCTACCTTTGAATCAAAACCCAGTTAGAAATAATGGAGAAGTTGTAATTTAAAGAAAAGTATAAATCCTTACCATTCGCAAAATGAGGAATTGAAAAAGAATCACCTCTAGTTAGTCATTAAAAAGGAGCAGAAAATTTCACACTTCAGAGAGTCCAGTAAAAGACAAATTTCCTATTTACAACCTAAGTTGATAATTTTCTAGATTATATTCTTTATAAAATCCAGAGATTCAGAAAAACAGTCATAACATCATCATTTGGGTGTGTTTATTTAAAAATACAATCTATTAAATCTTTTCACATTCTGAAGTGATGGTAATTATTGACTGAACACTTGGGCCAAGTCTCTTTTTCAGTAATAACACTAGTTTTGACAGCTGCTTCCCTGCCAGCACAAAGAGAACATTTTGTTGATTCCCTCAGCATTCAGTGGGAGGGCTGGAGGTCCGTTAACAAAGGAGAAATCTATTTGGAGTTTGCAAAACAAGGAGTCTTGTTTTCTTCCCCATTTATGCAGCTGTTGAAAAGTGAGAGGGCTGAGGTTCGGCCTGGTTTCTCTCTTTTATATCTCTACTTTTGGGTGAAATTAATTGCTTCCCAGAAGCATTTAAGAATACCACAGAACAAGATCAGGTTTTGATAACATTATTTTCTCTCTTATGTGCCCAAAATACTTCCGACAACTTAATTGAATAGAAAATCATTACATTGCTACATGCATTTACTTATATTCCAGTTTCTGTCCAAATCCAGTGTGATAATATTTCTATTCATAATTAGCAATCTAGTAAATAGCATGTCAGATGTTTTGCTAGAACATGGCGAATGCATTAAAATTAAGTCACTATACAAATGTGAAACTTCAAGTTTCGTTTCTAAGAACCAGGATAACGCTGTATCTATTTGCATTTACGCTTAACTTTTAATCTACCATCTTAAACCAACAAATATAAACACATTTTTTCTTGAAGTATGACAGAGAGGGAGCTCCTAACATGGAATATGGCCAGGAGTGAGAACGTGCAGAAAGAAAATTCATCCTGCTTGCCACCCACCAGCAGAAGGAAGGTCTGATGAAATACCACAGTAAGCCACAGAGAAACCACAGGTAGAACAGGCACTTGACACGAACAAGTTACCTGTTTGCTGAGTTAAAGTTGCTTTCATTTAATTAATTTCATCCTGACTGTAGGGCATAGGTAAACCCTTATGCCAAAGGGTTAGAAATACAGCTGGAATGCAACACAACAGCAGAACTAATTCTACAAGTCACATGGACCCAGATTAGGAGTGGTAAAGGGAAGCTTTAACTCCCCCCAGAAAACATGAACAGAAAAGCACGTTCAGCACTTTGTAATTAACATTAATGGAAACTCACTGACACGGATCCATTATTTCTAAGAAACATGTGACAAAGGAGCAAATGTAAAATAAATCTTTAACAGAAAACATGGAGTAGAGGTTTTGGTGAGCAGAAAGAGTGAGGGAAGAAAAGGAAAGATAGCATTTTTTAAAATTCAGCTCACATCTCTGGTAACACTACTGTCTGCAAGTTGCTACATTCTAATTCTTATTGGGGAGCAATGGTGAAGTTTGCGGGGTATAACAACATAGCTGAAAATAAAATGTGAAATACTGAAGGTGCTAAATAACAGCAAAATTCCCAAAGGAGGTAATCTTCAATTGCAGACTGGTACCCTAAACACATGCTAAAGATCATGTGGCTTCCAGCTATACCTGTTCACAGAAATACATATCCTGATCTTCTAGAGACAAAAACATTTATAAACTCTCGCTCTCACTGTAGCTGCTGTCCAGAATTAGAGAGTGCAAGCACGTATATACCATGTGTGCCCTCATCTCAAATTCACTGCCACTGGGGAAAAATCCTCACTGGGTTCAGCCAACTGAACCCCAGAGGCATCCTGTGCCATCATTTGACATTATATCCACTTTCTTTCCAACAAACAGCTTCCTAGAAGGCTCCATGACAAGGTCAGTCACTGCCCCAAATAACTGTATTAACAGAGTACTTTAAGAAGAAAAACAAGAAACTCTGGGACAAGCAGCCAATATAATAAGGGACAGTCTGCTACCAAACGATAGGAGAAGGTTCACTGACTTCAGTACCGTCAGCATTTCATACCTGTTTACTCTGTGGGAAGAACTGTACTCAGGTAAAACAAACAGGGCATAATTAAAACATGACATCCCCAACTATAAATTTCTCTGTAGCCTTGGGCCTTCTGTCAATGCATATTCAGCAGAACGAGGCAAGGGAGCAAAACAGACTTGTCCTTACCAACCATATGAGTTTACCAAGAACATGCAGAAAATCCAACACAACTGATTATTCCTCAATTACTGGAATAGAATTTTTACTTTGTGGAACTTTGTATGGCAGATGTTTCAAGCAAACATATTTGTTACAGTAAGTTTGAAAAACTAGTTTATTTGAATGTAGTCAAAATCCACGCCACCGAGTACTGCAAAGCAGCTAGATACTGTTCTAGTACTTACCCACTTGGCTAGAGCTTCTTTGATAGTTGTTGCTTTTGCCTAAAAATAAAACAAACTAAAATGAATATTCACTGCAATTTTGTAGCCAACACGTTCACTGCAAACCTTCCTCCTCCCCCTTCCCTTTTTCAGTCCTGCTCGTCTCCCCCTTTAGAGCCTTATTGCCCTCTAGCCGATTCTAAGAAGCTGGAACCCACCAGGTGTCTCCGTTTTATTTTCTGGGAACTCAGAGGCATTTTCAGAAGGAATCAGTTGGACTCACAAGAGCACATCATCTTCCTGACCTTGCTTCTTGCCCAGCCTGCACCATGGGTTTGGGCACTGCTTGTTAGCTTTGACAATTCAATTCAATTGAACTCAAAGGCATCTGGGGTTACTGCACTGAAAAATGTTGTCTAATGCTCTGAGAAAAACACACTTGCTATTAACGTGCATTAGCAATTTCTTTTCTGAAAATGACTCAGTGAATAGACAGAAACATAAAGCCTGTTAAAATCCACCAAGGAAAATAAGGTACCTCTTGCCAAAATTCAAAAGCAATCTGAAACTATTAGGTTTTTTTTTCCCCAGTTGTTTTATGTCCAGTCACATCATGAGATGTGGATACATATAATACTCAGTTAAAAAAATCTGAGAGCTCCTGTGCCAGGCTTTTTAAGGATTGACCCACTGATCAACCTTCAGTCGTCACTAATTCTAAGTCTTCTGTCTCATCAGTCCCGTCAACACAAAATGACAATAACCAGACAGTTATACGCACACTCGTATATACAGACACTCCTATATCCTAAGCATTAAACATATTCCAAGAAGTTTTCAAATTAAAAAGGCCCCAGAGACCGATCTTTCACAAATCAGCAGCCTCCTGCCTATAAAATCAATGCAGCCCTTCACCGCAGCGCTAGCACACACAGAGCTTTTCAGGTAATCAGACGTCAAAAAACTGACCGTAAAAGTTAAAACCAACAAAGTAACTTCAGCTCCAAATCTCAGAGGTAGTCACCTCAGGTCACAAAGCTTTACTGCTGGGTACTTGAAACCCCTGGAAATTTTGGACCCAAAGGCAGAAGACAAGGGTCGTGGCAGCTGCAAACAGAAGAACGGCTGCAGGCACCCAGCAACAGCCTGAGACCCAACCAGAGGAAGGGCTCAGCTCCGTTTCAGTCCCATCCATATCACGTGCTAGCTGGCTCCGGGTCCAGTGCAGTTAACCTGGTAAAATTCCGTCAGGACAGTGCCTGCTTAGAGCCTGGTGGGGATAAACCCCAGAGACTGCTGTCCAGAAGGCCACGCTCTGACAGCCTGACGAAGCTGACGGTGCCACAGCTGCCAGGGTGCCAGCAAAAACACCTGGCTTCCAGTTAATCTTTATTTTTTGATGGAACTTCCTCACGTTTTGTCACAGTTTTCTGCTAGCCGTCTGTACCAGCCCCGGGGTGCGTGAGCTCAGTCCCAGCATCTCCCTGTTGCGGATTCCTGCCTAAAGCCAGCTCAGACTGAAGGCAGTGACCCATGGGCACCGAGGAACGGCTTCTCCCCTCACGTCTCTCCCGCTGTAACAGCCAATTTGGTGGAAATGGGAAAACCAGCAGGGGGTTATCACGAGAACATGGATCAGGGAGGGGTTTGTAGGTTAGTGTGAGGAGACTTCCCTCAGGGAAGGCTGTTTGCAAGGCGCACACCGCGCAGCGTCCTGCGGGCAGTTACGCCGAAGCGCTGCTGCTTCGCGGGCTCAAAACGCCCAGCGCCCGAGGGCTGCGATCCTCACCCTGAGCAGCCGCCAGAGGCTGCCGGAGCGGGAACGCCTCAGGGGAAGAAAGCAACGCACGCACCGAGGAGCCCCCACAGCAGCGTTTGGCTGCCCCAGGAGGCGGCTGCGGGCACGGAGCGGGCTGTTTCCCGCATGCCCCCGCCACACTGAGCCCGGCAGGGCGCTGCCTTGCCCGGCACACGCTCAGCTTGCCCCCGCCGCCCCCGCCCGGCCCCCTCAGCGCGGCCCCGGCCGCTCCCTCCCGTGCCCCCCCCCCCCCCGGCCGCTCCCGCACCCACCATGGCCGTTGCTACCCCGCACGCTCCGGTTGCTAGGGCACGGCCGCCTCCCGCGCATGCGCAGCGCCGGCGGGGCGGGGCGGGGCAGGGCGGGGAGGGGAGGGAGAGAGCACGGAGGCGACCGCACCTGGCGACCATAGAGAGCGGGGAGGCCGCCGGGGAGAAAGTCCCATCCCGGAAGTGGCGCGGGGGGCGGCCCGCGGGGCATTGTGGGAGGCGGCGGTGGGGCTGCCTCAGAAGGGGGCCCGGCCCGGCCGGGCGGCAGCGGGTGGTTCGCGCTCTGCCGGGAAAGAAGAGCCGCATGACGCCGTGGGTCCGCACGCTTTATTTCATCGCTTGGGGAATGGGGGGGAGGTGAAGCCGTGCTTACAACCGCGCCCGCACACCAGCCTCGCCCCGCCGGCACGGCACGGCCCCGGGAGCGGCTGGGGAGGAGCAGCCGCCCGGCCGCGGCCTCCCGGGAGCACCACAGACACAGAGTGCCCGTGCAAAAGCCGGTCGGTTTCCCACAGGGCAGTTTTTGGATTGTTCCGTCCAGGGCTATCCTCACCTGTTGACACTTTATTTTCCCTCCCTTGTTTAAAAGATGTTAAAGAAATAAAATAAGATGATAAAAAACATGCAGCTTTCCAAACAAGTGACCTACACAGAAACAAAAACCCAATGTCGAATTCTTACACTGGCTTGCTTTTTAATAACTTTTTGGCAGTTTACTTTCAAGCTGCAGATATCTGACAATACCTAACAATTATTTTTAAAGGTTTAGGTACTTTTAGGCTACGTGTTTTTTGTTATTTCCCAGTCAGCATTTACTTCCTGAATCTGCAGCTTGCCATCTTGCACAGCAGTGGATGCGGTGTGGTAGCACAGTGATAAGGAGACAGCTATCAATACCAGGAGGGTAACAAGAGTTACAGGCAGCGCTGCTCTACCCCAGGCAGTCACACCCAGAGGTCCAACTGCTGTGGATACACGACACAGACAGACAGAACAAAAACAAAACAAAAACCGCCTGCAGGCAACCCTTTCCTCTATGGCTTCAACTTGGAAAAAAGACAGGGTGCTACGGATGAGCACCAGCAAGGTGCGCATCACAGCAGGCTGTGGTCCAGGGCTCCTGGGGCGGGCAGTACCAGGGCAGGCTGAAGCACCAGGCAGGGCTCTGCGAAGGTCTCTTCAGGCAGAGGTGAGACGAGGTGTGAAGAGGTTGTGTGTGGAGTGAAATGGCTGGAGCGTCTCTTCTAAGGAGTGGATGGATCAATTATTCAATAGGCAGTGATGGTGTACGGAGCGAGTGTGATTTCACTCAAATGGTTAGGAGTAACATGAGCTGCAGAAAGCTAAAGAGACCTGAGCATAATTGGCAGTCAACTGGAGAGAAAAGATCCCTGAGAGCAAAGCAAAATTCAGTGCCGTAAGTGAAGGTTTTATATCTTCCTGGGCAGCTCTCAAACTGGTCTGACAAAGTGACCTTGAAGGAGATTTGCATCAGTTTAACCCTTGCTAACCAGGCCTTCAGCACTGACAAGACCCTTGCAAGAAATCAGGTCTTTTGGGAAGAAATGTTTCTTTGTACCTGAGTGGTAGGGAGAAATAAGGCACTAGCTAAAAATTACATCAAAAAACAACCCTGGGCAGTCCTGGGACAGAAATCCTAGTTGTTGTTTTTTCATATTACTGTTGTAAGTTAATCATCACCACAAGATGACAGCTTTTTTTTTTTTTTTTTTTACAGCCTACCTTCCAGTCTTCTACTCATCAGCTTTTCTCTCAACTCCCCAAGAACAGCTGTCACCATATGTTGACATCATTATCAAAGAGTTTCACAATCCCTAACATAATGGCAATTATTCTTAGTTCAAAACAAGTGGTGAAGAGAGAAGTAAGACTTGCACATGGCATAACTGCATTTAACTCTGCTACCTAACAGAATTTTCATGCTCTGTCAACTGCCAATCCAAGGCATTATAGGAACAGATATTGACATCCCTAATACAAGGCAGCACTAGTGCTGCCATTCCCCCTAGATTCCCCCTAGATGCCAGGGAAAGTAGTCTTTGTTTCCCCCCCTTTAACAGGCAACTGCAGCTGGACAAAACCAAGACTGTTTCCAGCTGCTGCCAGAAGACCACATTCTGAGGTCATGAGACTCACTACAAATACAGCTCTCCAGCTTTGTGCAAATGGAAAACACCTCCAGGGGATGGGCTATAAATCAGTTCCAGGCTGAAGTAACTGACAGCCCCCAGCCAGAACCATTCATCATGTCGACGTCCAGGTCTGTCATCCACAGGTTGCCATCGTGTTCTGCCAGGCGGAAGTGGTCTGTCACTTCTACAGGCACAGGCTGCGGTGCAGTTCTGTGAATCTCTGCTACTGCAAGCCAGACGGTACCTACCCCTCTCTTCAGACACTTGTTTCTTGGTGCCACGATCAATTCAGGCCATCAAATCTGTACTACAATGCAGCCTACTTATGGTTGGGTCACTTCTCCTCTGTGTACCTACTTAAAATAACTTTGGCTAGTCCAAATAAATCCCTTCCTGTTTGGGTGTGTTTGGATGCAACTGTCATTTGGTGATTTCACATTTCAGACCTTTTCTCAGCCAGTCCCTCCAGTCATTTTGGTGGCTCAAGCTCAGCAGCAACAACTTACAGGTGCTTAAGTGTTCATCCCAGATGCAAGTGCAGAAACTCCTGAATCTTTCCCCAGGAGTGCTCCTGGGCATGGGCGTGTGCTTTGCTCTCTCCACCCCCCAGAACGGGCACCCCCAGAACACGATCCACGGCCACCTGACAAAAGGGAGTAGAAGGAGGATCGATTCTGTGACCTGCTCCAGGATAACTCAGAAGTGCAAAGTTTTCTTTCCCATGCTGGCGCAGCCGCCCAATTGCCAGCTGAGCATATAAGGAGCTCTTCCACATACGATCATCTTCCCCTACCACTAGGAGAAAGTGACCTTCTGCTTTTTCAATGGGGATCGTGCAGGGCGAATTAGCAGGATTCGTTGGGTCATCCAGAGCTTCAAAGGTGTCAAACACACCAGTGTCAGAAACACTGACCTTATTCATATCGAAACGCAGCCCAGGCAGAGTCATCTCACCATAGTGGAGGTCAGCAACTGTGTTGGAACTACAGCCAGAGATACAGACAGCAGCCACTACCTCTGGCAGGAAGGTGATCATGGAGAGCTGCTAGTTCTGCCCCCTTCCCGGTCCCAATTACTCCAACTCCTGGCCCCTTCACCTTCAGATAAGATAGGGGGGTGGGGAAGAGAGGAAGAAAGGAATAAAGAAAACATGCAATAGAATAGAATTAGCCATCAGCCTTTGGACTTGTGCTATTAAAAAAATATATATATATATAATAATTATAGATGTGGCCTGTTGCAAAGCTACAACCTGGATCCAGACTCCCCCTCTGTTCAAGGGTCTTACTTTTCAGAGAGCAACAAGTGTCAGACCTCATCAAATAACACTGGTGCCGTGTTTGTGCTGGACACAAGTACAGTCAGCTGGACCTCACCTACTGCACATTTTGGTGCAACTATTTTCTTCTTCCCAAAACAGGTAGCAGGAAATTCAAGTACAGACTATTGCTCTATAAGCATCTGTACCGCCACTGCTCCTTCCTGTCTGGAGGCTGTCCCAGCACTTCATTGCCCTAACGATCAGGAATCATCTAGTTTCCAGTGTGAATTTATTTAATGGCCTGTTTGTGCCAGAAGAAATTCACTCTGCGGAGATACGCATGGCTGCCTATGCAGGACCTACACTTTTTTCCATTACTTGGCCTAAACCTGCCCAGCATAAGCTGACACTCCAAGAAAATCACAGCCACCCTTGGGCATGACTACGAAATCTTTCCTAGTTCCTTGTCTGGAGAGATCTCTCATTACACTCACCTTTGGGTGACGCTGTAGAAATCTAGCTGCCTCCTCAAAGTATTCAAGGTTAAACTCTTTCATGACCTTGGGCAGATCTTCAAAGTCAAAATATGGCAGAGAAAGTGCAGCAAAACCACGGGTAGCCAGGAGACTGGATCTAAATTCAATCAAACCTCCTTCGTCACCATACATGTCAATCACTCCTGGGAAGGGGCCATCGCCTGGATTAAGAAGAGGAACAAAGGACAAGTTATCAACAAGACACTAAAAAGTATCTAGTTAGGAGTGAAAAATAAAATATAAAAGGCATTAGACATGTTCTATTCCTAGAACTTCATTACTCTTCCATTTGCACAGCTGAGATTAGAGAATTAGTGCTCTATTCCACTTTAGCTATTTCAAACTAAGAACAGATCCCCAGCTTCCTCTTAAAATATGTATGCAGCTAAATGTATTTATTTATTTATTTCAATCTAAACGTATTTCTCAATGGTCTTAACCTCCTACCCTTGGAACAATCATACTTTAAATCAGCTGTTTTCCCACCAAGAAGTCATACTGTAATTAGCAAGTTCAAGCACATTGCTAATGAGGCAATAGCACAGAGGCCTATAAATAAATTCAATCAAACTTATGCAAACTCTGAAATAAGGCACATTAAGAAAAGAACAGCGGAGACACCCACTGCTGGATGAAATCAGCTGAACTTCCTAGCTCTATCAAAGCATCAGCACTGTAAGAGCTGCCAGCAGACCTGCTATTGCGTGTGTGAAAAGACAGAATCAAACTGTCAGGGTGCGGTTACATGTGTGCAACCGATGCACAGATAAAACGTGCATATACGTGTACCAGCAGTCCCACAAAGCTTCAGAAATATTGAGAACCACAACCTTAAGCAAGCAGGCTTTGCAGCCAAGGTTGTGTTGTGTTATTGCTGTCTGTCGTCCTAGCAGATTTTAGGTTAAAGGCTCTGGGAACCATTAAAGACTCCAAGTGATTCAATTATTATTTTTTGTCTGGCCACCAGATGTCACCACTGATGCATTCAGATAGAATGGAAATAGAATAGTTTGGCAAAAAGGTACCTGCTTGTGCAAGAGTGCATTAACTCTCTGTCCCCATCTATATGCAAAGACAAGACCTGTGACATTTCAAGGTGCTTGAAAAAAAGGAAGTTTTGGAAAAGAAATGCTAGATGGAAACCTCCTAACAAAGCATTAGAAAGTTGGAAAAGCACTGAAACGTGCTTTTAGGTTCTTTTTCTTTCAGTTCTAAAATTTTTCATTGAAATTCAATATTCTGTGTGAGAGATCAGTCCAGACAAATTTCTCAGAATGCCAAGATCAGCAGTAACCTATAGTTATGAACACTCAGCCTAGATGGCTAGGAAAAAATAAAAAAGTACTCTATTTATCATCCCCACGTGGAAAGCTTTCTAGCAAGTACGTTTGATAAAAGCACAGTCAAGCCTTGAGTCTTGAGAGAAATACAACTTCAACTTACAGAAGGATCCTTGACTGCCTTCCTGAGTGCCTGCACATGTACAAGTATAGATTCTGCATTGTTCACTAAAATGTAGGATGAAATGCTAGACAACTTTACCAATACTTTAAAAAACAAACAAACAAAAAAACAAACCCACAACTAAAGCCTTTAACTTTTGTGCCTGAAATGTGAAATCCCTTACACATTATAACTGCAGTGTAAGCCCCCTTCTGTAATCTCACTTTTACTAAGGACAGCTGACCTTTACGATTCCTGTCTTAACAATCCCTTGCAGCAAAGAAAGATATGGTGGTAATGCTGTAACTGGATCCTCCGTCAAGAAGGATGCCAGCATCATTTAAGCAATAATCCCAGACTTTTTTCACAACATTACAACACCAGACTTTGTAAAGGGATAAATGCAGTTCCAGCTTGCAGATCTCTGGATTCCCACTGAGCTCAGCAGAAACTCAGCTCAGCTCTCTAAGACGGGATATATCAAAATAACCACGTCTCAGTGGTAGAAATTCCAGAATGCTGACTAAACATTTGATCCAAAATTCAAAGTTCAATCTATGCTGTTTTCTTCTTCTTCAGTGGACTTTGGATCTGTATCTAAATGGATAAAAAACAATTATTGGTTTGGAAATCATTCACCGAGAAGATTTTAATCCCTAATAACTGTAGTTATTAGGGATTAATAACTTGCAGGATTTGGAGAACTGATCTATTATAAATTAGGGACAATATGGGCTGCAGGTCTAGTAGAACAACACCAAGGAGAATACAGAAGCTTAAATCATGGCTCAAGTGTTCAAATGCTGTCACTGGGGTAAGGTTTCATTTTCCAGCAACAGCAGCAGGCCATCGGAATATCACAGCTCATAAAACACAGCCATCCCACAAGCAGAACAGGTAGAACTCGTCCAGAATTCTGTTTTGCATTTGTCCCACGGAACAAACGAACTAACTAAACCATTAACTCGGCCTACTGTACACTTCTACTGCCCAGCATCTGCCCTGCTGCTCTACTGATTGGCACGTACGTGCGTCTCGGGGAGGAAAAAGGGCTTCTAAAGGAGAAGAGCCGCGGGGTCCCGAGCAGCACTCACTCACCCGGCGGCAGGAACAGGGAGCCCCTGACGCTTCCCTCCTTCAGCCGGATCCTCCGCACGCCGGGGGCCGTGAACCAGCGCTGCACCTCGGCCTTGGCCATCACCGGCCCGTGGATGGCGCCGGGCCCGCTGTGGCCCTGGTGGACCAGCACCTCCACCCTCATCGGCGTGCCGGTGCTGCGGGGGACGAGCCGCTGGTACGGCCTCTCCATGCCGGCGGGGGCGAGGCTCCAGAAGAGCCCCATGGGCTCCACGCCCGTGTAGTCCCCGCCGTGCGAGGCGTCGGTGCCCAGGTGCAGCTGCCCGCGGCCGTCCGCCCGGTAGTGCGCGCACGACTGGAAGAGGCAGCCGCGCTCGTCCGCCACCACGGCCCGCAGCGTCACCGCCTGCCCCGCCGCCAGCCCCGCCACGCGGGTGTCCACCCGCTCGTCCGCCAGCCCGGCGGCGGGGGTCACGGCCTACGCTCACGGCCCGCCGCCGGGGCGCGGGGGGCGGCGGCAGCGGGGCGCGGCACAGGGCCCGCAGCGGGGCCGCCGCTCTCCACATGACGGCGGTGGCGGGGCCGCTGCGCCCACGGCAATAACGGCCGGGCGGCCGCCGCCCCCGCCAGGCAGCCTCAATCGAGAGCTGAGGCCGCCCCCGGCCTCGCCCCCGCCGCCCGCCCCGCGGAAACCGAGGGTTGCCTGGAGCCCGCCCCGGCCCACGGCTCGCTTTAATGAGGGCCGCAATTAAAGCTGCCCGGCTCGCTTTAATGAGGGCCACGAGTACAGCCCGGGCGCAAGGCGGGGGGCGGCCCGTCCCGTGCAGCCGCCCGGCTCGGAGCCGTGAGGCGCTGACCCGCTAACGGCCCGCGCGTTTTCTCCCCTCAGAGAAAAACCATAAGGCGGGAGGGCGTCACCTGCTGAGGTGACCAAATGCGGGTCCAGGTGTGACCACCGACACCTCCACGCCACTTCTGTTTTCCCTTTACTGCTTCTCAATGTTCACAAACCCCCAAGTTTCCTCCTTTCTACTGGATATACCCAGAATATTCTGTCAGGCAACGGGCTGTTGTCATCTGTAAATGAGTTAATTTGGTATTTCGGGGCGCTGGCACGCTATTGCCACACTTCTAAGTGAAAATCGTATTAATATTAGATCTCAAAATTGACAGTGTTAAGGCAGATGCATACATTTCAGAGATGTGGGAGAGGGGAAATGAACAGGCAGTACAATAGAAGAAAGTGCACCTGGAGAAGGGGAAGATCACTGGAGGTAGGCAGAAAGAAAAGCTGCTTCTAGAAAGAATAGTGCAAGAAACCATCTCTGGTAAGGACAACGGCATCCAACATGTTTCCTATAAGGAAGCCCTGCAAGGTAAATTTTCATCCCATTTCTCAGCTCAACTTAGTTACCTTCCACTTAAGCTCATTCAGAACAGACCCAGCCTTGCCACCACCATTTTTCCACAGCTTGGAAACCCAAACCACACACAGTAAGGAGGCCAACACGTCACTGAGGTTAGAGGACAGCGTGAAAAGGAAGCAGCTTTCATGGCTCTCACTATCTTCCTTGAAGAAACTCAACGACTTATTTGCTGATGTTCTTTGCTCTCACTCAGAGCCATATAACAAAACTAATCTGAAACACTAGCATCTTCCTCTGGAAAGTAACCTAACTCGCATCACAGCTTATTAGTTGTTCCAGAGGGCTTGCCATTGAGGTGCCTGTGGAAGAAGGCTTGGATCTGCTGCCAGGCATCTCTCTGTGCCTCAGAGTGTGCCTTGGGCTCCCCTCCCCACATCACAGGCTTGCCAACTAGCAGGTGCATTGAGGCTGCACACATTGGGAAAAAGGGGGGTTCGATATAATGCCCTGCTCCAGGATAACAGACTATCTCAGGCTTTTCCTTCCCATGTGCCTGCAAATGTTTGCTCCCCTCAACTGCAAAGAATTCACTTTTCCAGTTGTGATCATCCTGGCCAACAATGAACAAAAAGCGACACTCGGCCTTCTCCAAAGGGATAAAGCTTCGGCGGTTGGGCCCTTCTAACGGGTTGTTCAGTACATCGATAATATCAGCAATCCCAGACTTGTTGATCTTGATGCGTTTTGTATCGGCACCGAGGGGGGGAATGGTGATATCCTTGTAGCGGAGCACTGCGCCCACGTTCGCCACCGAGCCATTGATCACAGCGGTGGCCGTGATGCCCTTCAGGAACGAGGCCATGGAGAGGCACAGGTCACCCCCCTTCGAGAATCCAAGCAGCCCAACCCCTGGACCTTTCACCTGGATGGGAGAGAAAGAGAAGCCACAATCAATAAACCACTGCTTGCTATTTCTTTGAAGTGCTGCCACGTTCGCAGCAGTCCTTGTTCTGAATTTGGAACCCAGGTAGAGGCATCTAAGGTCCTGTGTGCAAGGCCCATGTCTGAAGGACCTTGGAGCACTGCTCTGTGCTTGACTTATTGCCACAAGCCCTGCAGAGACCGCAGCAGCATCCTAACAGAGGACACTGGAAGATGGTTAGTGAATAACACAACTGCTCCAACATCCAAAGACCCCTCTCTGGGCTAAAAAGGCTCTGAGACAGCACTAAAATTTAATACCTTCCGTACCTTAGCACCAGCATGACAGGCTCCACACCCACTGACTCTGAAGCACAGAAAAGGGGGAAAATAGAAAATACAGCCCAAACTTGGCAAAACGTTGAAAACATGGTGGCAGCTATCAGTGAAGGTGTTAAGTGAGAGGCTAAGATACTGTTGGCAGGGGGAGATATAAAAAAAAAAGGAAAAGTAGTTTTTGGGCAGAGGAAGTAGCAAAAGCAGTTAGGGGAAAGGCAACTTGAAAGGCAACCAAGGCCTTTAACAATTATTCATCTTTCTGAGGCTGAGGAAGGTATTTATTTTGAGCTCTCCAGAGCGGCAAGACTACTGCCTTGTGCAACTCTAGCTACTGCTGTCTACAGCTATTTGGAAGAAGACGCAGAACTAAGCAGGGCTCTCTTCCAAGTGGTGCCATCTTGATGCAGACCTAAGCAGAGCTCGCTCTCTTCCAGGAGATGCCAGCTCAGAAACCCTGATCCCTGACTTCACAGCCAGCTACTAAAAGCCACACACCACATACCACCATTTGGAGTGACTACAACACCTTATTACAATACACAGCGACAAATGGGTATTTATGGACTTCTTGAGCCCTGGATCACAGAGGCGTATCACATGCTCCAAGGCTGGAAAGGACATTTAGTTCTCAAGGACATATTACAGAGCATAAACCTCAAAGCCCTATTGGAAGCCTGATAAGCCTCAAGGCTACTGGTTCCCTAGTTACAACACTGGGGTGAGTGAAGCAGAAATTACCAGTATGTGACCCACATGTCATTGTGTCACCCGGCCAGTTCAGAAAAACTGCAATACTCTGCCAGAGAGCCACTGTAATGGGACTTAAAGATATGAAAGGAACTATTTACAGCCAACATGAGCAGAGATGCTATTTTAAATGAAGCAGTTCTGCCCTGTGTGCAGTCTGACAGGACCTAACTAATGATAATTACCAGTAGTGAGAAAGAGTCAATAAAAAAGCCAACCTGGGTGTGTTTTAACATGTAGTTTATGGCTTCTTCAAAATATTCCAGGTGGAACTCCTTCATCTCTTTGGGGAGATCTTCATAGCCGTAGAAAGCCAGAGCCAGCACAGCAAAGCCATAGTTGGCCAGCAGGCAAGCCCTGTATTCAGGGAGTCCTCCTCCAGTTCCATACAAGTCAATAATTCCAGGAAAGGGGCCATTTCCTGCAACAGACCACAAGACAGCTACCTTGACCCATCACTTTTCATTTGTATCCCAAATTGAGAGGACTGAGAATGTTTTTTGGTTTTTTTTTAAAAAAAAAAGCATCAAGAATGGTACTAAGCATCCTAAGTTCTGTGCCAATTTTCAGTAAATGGATAAATTGCTTCAAGATTAAACAAGACAGCACAAAACAGCAGTCTTGCTAATGTTTTAGTGAACATCAGGGCTAGAAGGGAAGGGCTTCCCTGACAGTCACATCTAGTTCCCTATATAATGTAAACTCACTGCAAAGATATCAAGCTCTACTTCAGGAATACCCAGGAGGATTCTCCTCACTGCATTTCTTAAAAGATGGACCCAAAAATCTCATCTTCTGATGTTCTGGGCTTCTCAGTTCCTGTGTCAATGTACTACAGCAGGTTAACCAGGGCACTAAGGGAAGAAAATATTTGCAGTTGGTCTTGCTACCCTCTGAGGGAAACTCTACCTTAGGCTCATCAGGAGACAGGGATGGAACAGAGCTGGGAGGGATGGCTACAAACTGATAAAGAAGTATGGAAAGGATAAGGCCATAAGATTCTTCATTCCTGCTCTGAATATAGGCAATCTCAGGTGTCCACACACTAATGCGCAGAACTTGTGCAACAAACAACAAGAACTGGAAACTCACCACCAGCCACAGGGCTACAACGCAATCATAAGCAGGGATGCTGGCTGGGACAGCACGTATGATTGCACTGCTCTCATGGAGGAGCTACCAAGGGCATGCAGGGAAGGAGGTGGGGAGGGAAAAGTGCACGCTATGTAGAAGTGCTCTCTGACTCTGTGGGGTTCCAGCATGAAACCAGAGACACGCCTGGTGAGAGCCTCTGGGTCACAGGGAGAAGGGAAGATGGGAATGTGTTGGGGGATCGTGACTGCTAAAGAGCACCTGACCAAGTCAAGGCGAGAGATGAGGCTTCCTAGTGACAACTAGCACAAGCCTTGACAATTGCTGGGACAACACAGCATTTTTCAGGATATCTGGAAACCTCTGAGACCCTCCCGATAATTTGCTGACAGAAAGGCTGTAAGGGCAAACCTGTATAATGCTCTACTTGACTTTCTGCTCAGAAGCGGAGAGAAATGGTGCAGATTTGGCAGCAAAAATCTTGGACTGCAGCAACTCTGAAATGACTGAGTTCAGGAATTGGGGAAAGGCTGGGATGGGCAGCAGCACAGTTAGGACTTGAGACTTTTGGACAGCAACGTTCAGCCCTAAGAATGACTAGCTGAGTTCCCTGGAGAGCAGCCAGGTAGGGGAAAGGTAGGTTGAGGGCCGGCCAGCACCACACGCTGCCACCACGGCATCTGAAAACAAACACGTGTTCACACGCAACTGTTGGCAAAAAACAAACTTTCCTCTGAGCTTTTCCTCTATGATTCTGTATCAACTAGTACCGTGACATTGGGTTTGTGGATGGGGGTAAATGTGAGAGAGCACAGAGGGTGAGCTTCAGTCCAGGGGGGCTCTGGTGAATTTAAGGACTGGGCTAACAGACAGGTCATTAAGTCTTCACCCATGGAGAAGGGTGAAGGTGCCTTCTGGGTGCAGAGCAATCGCATGCAACCCCACACTTTGGGAAGTGACTGCCCGAGCAGCAGCCCTGCCGAAAACAACCCTGGAGCCCGGGCTGAACAGCAGTCACTGAAACAAACTCAGGGGGCAAGGAGCCCGGCAGGGCCGGTACTCACCGGGGGGCAGGAAGAGCGTGGCCCGGATCCTCCCCTCTCGCACCGGCACCCTGCGCACCCCGTCCCGCAGGAACAGCCGCTCGTGCTCGGCCTGGGCCAGGAGCTGCCCGGGGGGGGTCCCAGTGGCCCTCCAACACCTCCAGCTGCAGGCGGAAGGGGGTCTGCACGTCCTTCTTCACCAGCCGCCAGAAGGGCTTGCGGGGCTGCAGAGCCCAGAGCAGCCCCATGGGCTCCAGGCCGCTGAAGCTGCCTCCCGGCAGCGCGGGGCAGCGGGCCAGGTCCAGCTCCCCGTCGTCCGCCGCCTGGTACCGGCCGTGGGCCTCGAAGAGCTCGCCCGCCTCGTCCCGCAAGGATGCCCGCAGCGTGACCTGCTGCCGCGGGCCCAGGCCCTGCACGGCGATGCCCAGCGGCTCGTCGAAGAGGCTGCGGGCGGCCGGCGAGAAGCGGATGCTGGCGGCCATGGAGGACAGGCTGCGGGCGGGGAGGGCACCTGGGATCCGCGCGGGGCCGGGCCAGAGGAGCCTCTGCCAGCAGCGAGCGCTCAGCCGGCTCAGGGAGAGGGCAGCGACCTGCCCCATGGCCCCGCAGCGATTCCGCCCCCGGGCACCGCCGCCCCGCTCTGCCCGCCCGGCCGGGCCGGGTCGGGCCGGGCTGGGCTGGGTTGGGGAGCCCTCGGCCCGCCCGCCGCGCGGGGAGGGGCCTGGGCGCTGCGCGGGAGCCCGGGCCGGGGGGCTGGGCTTGGCTGTGAGGCGGCCGAAATAGGTGGATTAAATAATTAAATAAATTAAATAAATTCCATAGTAGAGGCATTAAAATAGATGTTGCTGATCGTCTTTGTTTACTACTGTGCAAATTCACCCGAAACGAGGAGTTTCGGGGCCCCCTCACAGGGGATGTTTCCTGACAGAAATGGGGAACCTGTCTCTAAAACCAGCTGAGACCGACCTTGTGGTTTGGACAAGAGCCAAGGAGCAGCTGAGTCTGTACAAAGGCAGGGGGTCAGCTAGTGGTGGTGAAGAGGAGTTATCAGCCTTCATCCCCAGGCCCCCTGAACCAGCACCACCACAAGGCACTGCACAAGCACAGATGGGAGAAGTTTATGGAAATGACTTATTGGAGCTAATTTTAATTTAAAACAGGGATAGGTTATGCATATATATAGGCGTAATGGGAAATTTCATATATATGTAACACTTTACTGCATATAATCAGGGCAAGTTGCCATGTTGGGATGCGTATGCTTTTGGGAGCTATCACGCACACGTCCTGTGCCGAAATACATGTAAACCACGTACCTACTGTATAACTCATTTGCTTTGAGTTGTAGAATGCTTCCAGGAATCAACAGGAGTAGAGGGAATGGCCTCAAGTTGCACCAGGGGAGGTTCAGGTTTGAAATTAGGAGACATTTCTTCTCAGAAAGAGCAGTCGGGTATTGAAACAGGTTGCCCAGGGAGGTGGTGGCATCACCATCCCTGGGGTTGTTCAAGGAAAAGTTGGACCTGGTGCTTAGGGACAGGGTTTAGTGGGTGACATTGGTAGGGGGTGGTTGGACTAGATGATCTTGAAGGCCTCTTCCAACCTTAACGATTCTGTGATTTCTATGACGTGCAAATCCACCACTTGGATAGGTTTGCCACAACAGCTACCTAAGCTGCAAGGTTAAGAAGAGAGATACCTCTCCATATTCCATAGGCTCCTAATCCATGCAGACTGTAGCCTAAAAATGTTTTCGTCAGAATTTGGAACCTCATTTCCTGTGTTATTAATGTATAATGTATATTATACATTATACATTATAATGTATAATGTATTCTAACCTTTGGCTTAGAATAAAGTAAAATTATACAAATTAATTGTAATAATATTTCTAAATAGTTGTAAAACTAATTTCAGAGGTTAAAGGAGCAATTGAAGATGGATCTGATTATCATGGTCAGAGACCATGTTGTGGTCGTGCATCCTTGTGACCACAGTCCAGTCACAAAGCCGGCCTGGAGCAGAGGTTTTAAGATTCAGGGTCGGCATCGTGTTTTCTGGAGGGGGCACCTTTCTCTGTGTTGTGTTGTTGGGTGGTGGTACCTTCCTACAGGGAGATTCACATACCTGGTGGGGAATTACTTTCCTTTTGATGGCAGTGAGGGTAGTGCAGTGTAACTGGTGTGCTCCCTTCCATAGTTCTTTCTCTGGTGCACCCTGATGTAAGCCCAGTCTCCTGGTTCCAGAGCGTGGCACAGTTTGAAGGAAAGCTCTGGAAGATCTTGCGTTACTTGATAATGTACAGATATTACATGTTTCATTAGGGGCCTGCAATAATTTAATGTTAAAACATCAGTCAGTTGCAGGTCGTCTGTGCAGTGCTTCAGGGAAGGCTCGTAGGCCATCCCGTAAGGATCTCATGAGGCAAACAGCCATGCTTCCTATTTGCTGTGCTTTGCATGTACAGCAAGGGTAGTGGCTGTGTTTTTGGACATTTTAGGCCTGTTTCTTAACATACCTTAGCTAATTTACTTCTCATGTCAGAGTTTCTTTCTGCTGTACTGCTATATTGGAGATGGTAGGCGCAATGCTGGTGTTGCTTAATGTTTAAAGCTGTGCAAATATTTTTAATCACTTGGTTTGTGAAATGAGTGACTTGATTGCTATCTGTAGTAAGAGGAATGCCAAATCAAAGTATCAAGTCTCTTAAAAGTTTCTTGGCCACAATAGTGGCATGAGCTTGTTTGCAGGGATAAGCCTCAACCCATCCTGAGAACTTGCAGTGGATTACAAACACATATTCTGGATTACAACATTTAGCCATCTGGAGGAAACTATATCTGCAGATTATTTGCAGGTTCCAAGGTTAGAGATGTGCTGCAGGGGTTGTTTCTGTATACCGGCCTATGTTATGGACTAGGCACATGGGACAAGTGGTACAATACTGCCGAGCTTCACAGAAAAATTTGGAGCAAACCAATCTCACTGTATGACTGCAATCACACCCCCTTGGCTATCGTGAGCCACGGAGTGTGACACATGAGCACGACAGGGTAAAATGGAGTGAGGCATGACCAAAGGACCATCCAGAGAACACAATAAAGAATCTGGGTGAAACTGGCAACCACTGTGGAGCCAAGAGTCCTTCTCAGTTGCAGGAGCCTTGTTCTACAATAATTAAAGTTCTGAAAGAGAAGGTGAATGTCAGAGGTATTAGGCAGAGTCTCAGCAGTCTTTTGTTCCCCATGGTGGGAGCTCCATCTCTCCTGAGCAGGTCAGGTGCTTTGTCATCTAGCATTACTGTATTGCTGTCTGACATGAGAACTGCTGCTGAGAATGACACCCTTCAGCATGCAGTGCTGGGTGTAATCACAAGCTTGATCGTGTGCAGGAGCGGATCCTAAGGGAGAGGGCCCTGAAGGCATATGCAACTCCTCCTCCACACTTGGTATCCCAAGAGCAGAGGAGTGAAGGTGACAGGGACACGTCAGTCTCCTCTTATCTCTTCTCCCCGCCTGGGCAACCCTGGTTCCGATGCTCCTGCAAGTTCCAGCCTGGTGGCCCAGATGCAAAGATCCCTGTTTCTAAACAAAGCACAGCAAATGACTCCATGGCTTTCAAATCTCATTCTCTCTTTATTTAAATTATTGCTCTAATAGTTCCCCATTTTGTGGGAGATCACAGTCATTTAAAATTTGGCTTTTCCAATGACATCTTGGAGCCAGAAGTATTCATGATCCAGAGCCCTTTCTTCTGAAGGGAAGATGAAAACAGAAGACAAACAACTCTTCTAGAAAGTTCACCAGAGACACCCCAGCATCCTTATTATAACATCCATTATTGCACACTTACAGCAGCTCAGAGGTCAGAGATATTTCCATTTGTGATGAGACATTCACCATAACTGTGGTGAAATCCACGTGCCAAAATTAGTATTTGAGAGGTTTTGCTCTAAGTATGAGCTGTGGATAGCATATGCATGTGGAGACCGCAGTAATTTGCAAAGTGCAGTCAAATATTAAAGTAGAAAACAGGTGAGAAAAATAACGAGGATTTTTTGTTTGACCTATTTTATCAAGGGCTAATGTGAAACTATTCTCCACTCCTTTTCTTAACACTTGAGCAAAAATGTTGAGGGAAAACCAGAAAATTGAAAACTATTTCTTTTCTGAGTAGTGGATGTGCAAAGTCATGGAAGACACCGTAGCTGTACTGGTACAGCTGTGAATGGGATTTGACCTGATAAATGTAATAGAATTCATCAGATCTGGTTGTTCAAAACTGTGTGTTACTTGTACATTGCTTCTTCCACATTACTTGTCATTTAAGTATTTGTGGAAAAAAGCCTGGATCTGTGGCCAGGCATGAACCTGTGCTTTAGAATAAGCCATGAGCTCCCCACCCAAGACTGCCCGCTTCTGAAAAACAGGGTGGTTTCCTATCGGGTACAAAGGGAAAAAGGGAGGGTCAAGGCAGTGCCCTACTCCAGGGTAAATGAGTATCTGAAAATTTTCCTTCCCTTGAGCCTGCAAATGCTTGCAGGCTTCAGTAGCAAAATACTCACTCTTGATAACATGGTCATCTTGACCAGCAATGAACAGTAAATGTGCCTCAGCTTTCTCTATTGGGATCAGGCTTTGGTTGCCAGGGACTTGAAAGGGGTCTAAACTGGCATCAGAAAAATCAAGAATGTTGTCATCATAATCCTTAGTATGCTGTTGCTTAAGGGTCAAAGGGGGGATGATTTTATCCTTGTAGCTGAGAGGAATAACTGTATTGGACACAGGGCCATTAATGGTAGCAACGGCTGTGACGTTCTTCAGGAAGGAAGCCATGGAGAGAGACAGATCACCTCCTTTAGAGAAACCGAGCAGGCCAATGCCAGGCCCCTTTACCTGGTGGACAGGAGAAAAACAAAAACAAAAACAAACAAACAAAAAAGCATCAGTACTGAGCTGAAAAATACAACAGCTAATTACCGGAGGAGGATATTGTGTAATGCTGATAGTTTACATGACAGTACAAAGGAGGGGATGGCAACAATTAGTTTTTTTTTGCTGGACAAGTGCTAAACACCTGCCCCGAAGGAGGAGGGACATTAGGTGACAATTCACAAAGGCTCTCTCCTGCACAGCCTCCCCACCGTGTTACATTTCAGCTGTCTCCTGTGAGATTGCTTTGTGATCTCTCTCCACTGACGTTCCAGTGCATATCTGTTTGACCCTTCCAACTTTCTAGAGCTCAGACACCCAAAACCCTGCAGATGCCAGCCATGGAGCCAGGCAAGCATCCAGACACCTCCACAGAGATCACTCAGGTGAAGGGACAGACGCTCTGAAGAAGCAGTACTCCCTGGATCCCAGAGGACAGGGAGGGTGCTCCTACCTGTGGGTGCTGCAGCATGTAGTTCACTGCCTCTTCAAAATATTCCAGGTGGAGTTTGGTCACATCCTGGGGCAGATCCTCATAGTTGTAATAAGCCAGGGCCAGTGTGGCAAAGCCATGATTGGCCAATAGGCTGGCTCTGTACTCACGAAGGCCTCCTCCAAGTCCATCTATGTCAATGATTCCTGGAAAGAGGTCCTCTCCTGGAACAGACAAGAGCAATATTGCCTGAAATGACTCATTTAAATGTTTCTCTGGTTTAGAATGCATCAAGCCAGGTACACAGTATGAACTGCAGAAGAGTGTATTTTATGTAAGGGACATGACGAGTCACTCAGCTGTGTAGTGCTGGCAGATAAAAAAGACTCTTCCTCTGCAGTTTGCATGCAGGTGACAGCACAGCTACTGGCTTTACACAGACTGTGAGGATTCAAAGCAGTGGCTGTGTACCCCAGAGGCCAGGACTGCAGCTGCCCGTACCCATGTCTCAGTTGTGTAGCAGAGCACTGTCGGCCTACACTGAGCATGCACAGAAAAGGTCCTAAAAATGGGCAAGTCTCTTGAGACTGTATCCCAAAACATCCTCATAGACAAGCTCAGGAAGTGTGGCCTAGATGAGGGGACAGTGAGGTGGATTGGCAGTTGGCTGGATGGCAGAGCTCAGAGGTCCATTCTAGTTGGAGGCCTGTACTCCAGGGGTCAGTACTGGATCCGGTCTTGTTAAACTTATTCATCAACAACCCGGATGATGGAACTGAGAGCGCCTTCGGCAAGTTTGCTGATGACACGAAGATGGGAGGAGTGGCTGATACCCCAGAGGGCTGCATTGCCATTCAGAGGGACCCTGACAGGCTGGAGGGTTGGGCCGAGAGGAACCTCATGAAGTTCAACAAGGGCAGGTGCAGGGTCCTGTGCCTAGGGTGGAATAACCCCAAGCACCAGTACAGGCTGGGGGTGACCTGCTGGAGGGCAGCTCTGCAGAGAGGGACCTGGGAGTCCTGGTGGACAGCAGGCTGACCATGAGTCAGCAATGCGCCCTTGTGGCCAAGAAGGCCAATGGCATCCTGGGCTGCATTTGGAAAAGCGTTGCCAGCAGGCCGGGGGAGGTGATCCTACCCCTGTACTCAGCCCTGGTGAGGCTTCACCTGGAGTAATGTGTCCAGTTCTGGGCTCCCCAGTACAAGAGGGACAGAGAACTACTGGAGTGAATCTGGGGGCTACAAAGATGATTAGAGGACTGGAGTACCTGTTGTACAAGAAGAGGCTGAAAGAACTGGGCCTGTTTAGCCTGGAAAACAGTAGACCGAGGGGAGACCTCATTAATGTATATAAATATCTGAGGGGAGGGTGTCGAGAGGATGGAGCTGGTCTCTTTTCAGTCGTGCCCAGCAACAGGATGAGAGGCAATGGGCACAAACTGAAGCACAGGAGGTTTTGGCTCAATATGAGGGGTCACTTCTTTACTGTGAGGGTTAAAGAGCACTGGAACAGGTTCCCCAGAGAGGTTGTGGAGCATCTTTCTCTGGAGATATTCAAGACCCCCCTGGATGCCATCCTGTGCAACGTGCTCTGGGTAATCCTGCTCGGCAGGGGGGTTGGGCTAGATGATCTTCAGAGGTCGCTGCCAACCTCAGCCATTCTATGATTCTGTGATTCTGTCTGTGGCGGTGCTCAGGGGAGGCGGGAGAGTGCTGTAGCAAAAGCTCTTTGGGCTCTCCATCTCTGTATGGCCTTAGGCTGTTTTCTGATTGGTATCCAACTTCTGAATCATAACATAGAGACGTCCTTGTATGGAGAGCACTGCCAGGAATGGAAAATCATGACTGGGACATCTCAGTGCAAGACAATTTGAACGTGGTGAAATCACAGTGGGGAAATACAACTCCAAATGAAGCTGTGCAACAGAAATACTGATCATGCTTGCAGTCTTGTGAAGCTAAAGATTTGCTGTGGTGTCTGCGGGATGAGAATAAACTCCTCCCTGTGCCTAGGAAACAATTCAAAGAACCAGGGACTGTGGCAAGGGTCTATAATTTTAAAACACACCCTAGTTAAAGGAGCGGGTCTAAGGACCCTGAGAAAATGAGCCAGCATTTGATTTACTATAAGCATCTCAAGTGAAGGGAAGCAGGGAGGTTTGGATACAAAATGCATGCAAGTGGCTTCATCTCCTGTTCAGCAGGCAGGGATAGAGGTGGAGCAGGGGAGGGAGTCCTGGCCACACTGCCGAGGGGGATGCTGAACACGAGAAATCAGCCATTCTGCACCATGGACTCCGGCAGGGAAGTCTCTGTTTAACTACTTAGCAGGTACTGCAGCCTGGTGGTGTTCTTGAGCACATCATACATCTCAGAGAGGAAACCCTTTCTGAGAGCAATTAATTAATGTTTGTCTTTTCCGTCTGGAAAGGTTTATTCTCCATAAAAGTTCTTTAGCCCCTCCTCTTCTGCCTTTCACCTACTGAAGTTGTCCACAGAGCACATGTGCCAACAAAGGAACCTGAACATGGTGAATGATGTTCACCATACAGTGGCTGCTGTGCAGGGAGAGACAGAAGATTCCCCCAAACCCTCCAGGAGGAGGACTGCCTAATTTTTCACATGAAGCCAGCTCTGGGCAACAAGGCAGGGCTGGCACAGAGCCTCTCTGCACCACTCACTGCCTCAGCATCTCAGCCTCAGACACCTCCTGGCACACTCGCTGTTGCTTGCTGAGAGTTCCTCCACATTAGTGGCCTCAAGCTCTGGGAAAGATGGATTATTCCTCTGTCTGCAATCTTGTCCTGGCACCTGCATGGCCAGATGAATGGGAACAATGATCAGGCTGGTCACTGGGAGCAGCAGATAGGAGGAAGAGAGGATGGGGGCTTTCATGGGCTCCTCTTTATGCAGGTCATAGAACAGCTTGCACTGACTAAACATGATTCTTTTAGAAAAACAACAGGATGGCCACAGCCAGTACTCACCGGGAGGCAGGAAGAGCGTGGCCCGGATCCTCCCCTCTCGCACCGGCACCCTGCGCACCCCGTCCCGCAGGAACAGCCGCTCGTGCTCGGCCTGGGCCAGGAGCTGCCCGGGGGGGGTCCCATGGCCCTCCAACACCTCCAGCTGCAGGCGGAAGGGGGTCTGCACGTCCTTCTTCACCAGCCGCCAGAAGGGCTTGCGGGGCTGCAGAGCCCAGAGCAGCCCCATGGGCTCCAGGCCGCTGAAGCTGCCTCCCGGCAGCGCGGGGCAGCGGGCCAGGTCCAGCTCCCCGTCGTCCGCCGCCTGGTACCGGCCGTGGGCCTCGAAGAGCTCGCCCGCCTCGTCCCGCAAGGATGCCCGCAGCGTGACCTGCTGCCGCGGGCCCAGGCCCTGCACGGCGATGCCCAGCGGCTCGTCGAAGAGGCTGCGGGCGGCCGGCGAGAAGCGGATGCTGGCGGCCATGGAGGACAGGCTGCGGGCTGGGAGGCCACCGGGGATCCATGGGGGGCTCCAGCGCTGTGGGAGCAATGGCTTGGGGCCATGCCAGCAGTGTTGCCTCTGCCAGCAGCGGGAGCTCACTTGGCGCACAGAGAAGGCAGCGACCTGTCCCATGGCCCTGGATCTTTTCACAGTGTCTACATGTGGGCTGGAGCTCCTTGTATAAATGCTGCTTCCCACCCACAGGGAGGAGAATGCTGGGCAGGGACTACATGGGCTCACGCTGGGCTGGGAAATATCCAGGCTGCTTCAAGCTGTGGCTGCAGCCCTGTTGTCATCTCTGGCAGGGTGGTCTCAGTGCAGTCAGTTCCTTGGCACTGCAGGAGCATTTCCAAGGGACATCACCTCTGCCCAGGCACTTGTTGGTTAGCAGTGTGCATATGTGCAGTGTTGGTAGTCCTCATAACCAGGGCTGTTTGTTATTGATCCTTGCAAGACCGGACCAAGAAGGAGGCTCAGCTGCAGCCCTTCTCTCTATACCGAAGTTCTTCTCACAGGTTCTCACTTGCATCTCCCAAATTTGGCCAAGCAGTAGGTTCCCAACATGAAAGGTTACTGCTCTTCTGCATGCAGACCTGCACGCAATTGGCACCACAGACTGGGAGCATTTTGTCAGCTTGCTCTGCCACTCCAATGAGCTGCTGCCCCAGCAACATGATCCTGCACCCAAAACGGCATCATCATGTGCAGCCAGCTGCAGGCATGGAGACAGTCTTGAACCTTTCACCAGATGATAACATCTGGTGTGCCACTGCCGCAAGGTTCCATCCTTCCCTTCATCCCTCCCACACTCCCACCTACTCTTCTCCCTCCCTTTCCTCCCTTCCAGCACCTTATTAGCACAAGGGCGGGCCCATGGGTGTTGGCTGGACATGTTGGGAGCACTGATTACAAAATATACTAGGTAGGGAAGGGTGTTTCATTTGCTACTAATTCTCTTCTATCAGTTCTGATCTCTTTTATACAAGAGAGATTTTTCAATCCAAACACAAAGCTGCAGACGTACTTAAATCCTTTGGGAGGAGACTACAGAAAGCAGAACAGCTTGGATGGCCAGAGCGTATTCAGGCCAGAAGTGGAAGTTACCAGTCAGAGCATGTCCTTCCTGGGGGTAGGTGAACGCAAGGCACAGAAGACACAGCTTTTCCAGAGGGAAAATCTCATTCCCAGCAGCCTGAGAGCTCTTAAGCTGGGACACCAGTATACTTCTAACATACCACATTGTGTACTTTTTGCAGTTTAGTTAGAGATGTTTCCATGTGAGATGAAGCATTCACTGTAAATGTGGTGAAATCTCTGTACCAAAAGGTGGGTATGGCAGATGTTGATTTAATCTATGGGCCGAAGATGGTATCTACGTGGGGAGACCACAGTTATGTGGAAAGTACAGACATTTATCTGGAGTTCACTGACCACCAGGGAGATAACAGCGTATTGCATATGATGTGTTCAATTAAGATCAGTTCAAATGCTATTCCTTTTTTCAATGCCTGATTGAAAAAGATCAGGGAAATTACAGGAAATATGAATGCAATTCTGCTGACAGCTGTGGGTATGTGAAGCCATGTTATTTGGGCTATACTGATGCAGGTGTGAAAGAAAAACATTAATTCAATAATTGGAAAAGCACCTGTCAAGTCAGGTCCTTCAGACCTGGGTGTGCTTGCTGTTGGGGTAGAATAAAATCTAAACCTCTTGCAAGCATCTTCCTGGCCACCTGAATGAGCTTTGTGAGCCTCATTCCACATCTCAGGAGGCGAGGAGGTTCAAAATGGACTCTTTGTCACTGGGTTCAATGGTGAAAAGAAAGGTGCAATAAAGGGGAGGAGATCATGCCTAGCATTTTCTTTCTTTGAGATTGTAGACATTTTTTGTTTGATTGATTGATTAACAAAAAACTTGCTTTTGCAGAAATAGCCTGACTACTCAGCTCTGCCCAGGCCTGGTGTCCCACTGCTAAACAGGCGGTACCTGCCAACCCTGTCAGGCCAAATGCCACAGGGGTAGTTACCAAATAGCAAGT